CATTCAGTCGGCCCTGGTTACGTTACAGCGTGGTAGGTTATTCCTCAAGGATTATCGTTGAGACTAACGTTTTGATAGGGATAAAGGAGTATGGTGTTCCATCCATTGAAGTGTTCAGTGTGCCGGCCTACACCGTCAAATCTGATCCGCCTATACATTTCGATCAATCCGAAACTGACATCAGAATATCCGGACATTTGGAGAGCGAAATTAAAGACGTCGAGTAAGCGAGTCGAGCCGCACGCATCAACTGAGTTGAGTTCTGTTTCAGTGCCAAAATCGAGGATTCCGATTTTTCGCTCACCTTAACAGTGTTGACGAAAAAACTCACTTACCTGTCTAACTACGATTATAAGGACGCCATTATAGATGGAGTCGACATGAGCGGCAAAGGAAAAAAGGATGTTATTGGAGACAATTTTCAATTTACTGTCACGTTTACCGGTGTTGTGGATCAAAAAGGCGGCGAACGTTATTTGCAAATAACGCAAGCGTCCATTGTGGACGTTATGCTCGACATGGTGCACTTCTCCTACGGATCTACGGAAGACAGGTCTGGAGAACTGTTAACCAACTATTTGACGAAGAACATGAAATCCATACTGGCGAAGGAATCTAAGAAATACATGGTTGTTTATGAGGAAGCGTATAAAACGGGGGCTAACGCCGTATTTTCCAAAATCCCTTACGACGTATTGTTTCCTAAATGAGTTTTTCTGTGACGGCTTTTCAATAATACTTTAACAACACTGTCTAGTTAGGTATCAATAAATACAGTACAAAATCTGTTCATGCAATAATCTTCATGGGTCGATTCCTTCAGGAATATCAAAATTAGCGATCCGAAAAAAATCTATTGTTTTTGGCCGTATTCGGATAGATTTCACTCAATTGAGTTGGTTCTTGACATCGCACACGTTCGCGAGGATATTTCTCGTAACGTTGCCAATTTTAAAATTATAAGTTTACTAACAGGCCTAATTTAATGCCGAATGGACCGAGGGCACGCAAAATTGACGGCCTTAAAACAAGGCAGAGTAGAGGTCCGACTTGCCACATCAGACCTTTACTCTGCGTGAGTTTTTTTCTAACGTACAACTTGGGGAATTGTAGGAAAAAAGGGGTAGTGGTGACGAGAAGAGAAAACTGTAAGGAAAAAGCGACAAGACGGAGGAACGAGCCAGGATAGACACGAAGGAAAAAAGGGTGAAGATCTCGAAAACAAAAAAAAAGATGATACACGATCATGCAAACTAAAACCTTGGGTTTGAGTAAATAATCATCCGTAGCCGCTAATTGCCAATTATTGTGCTCGATATGCAATTAGCAAAAATAAACATCCTTTTCGGGAACGATTAACAATTACTGTTTACATTTCGTGATGATGGTAATTACACACGCGAGTAAAGTGTGCGTTATAAAGAGCACGGCGGTACATTTCTCCCGTAAAACCATGAAGACCGCCGTGCTCCTTCTGACCTGCGTTACAGTGGCGGTACGCGGTTTGGATTTGCGTAAGTTTCTCGAACGTAAGCGACGCTCGTGACCGATCTCGATTTTTAGCCTTTCAAAAATGCGAGCGATCGACTCCGAACCTCAACGAGTGCATGAAGTCGGCGATTCAAGACGCACTGCCGATTCTGAAGAGGGGTAAGTCGAGTGCTCTCCGTTTTTACCCCTTGCAAGTCCTCCCCTTGCTTAGGTTTGCCTGAATTTCAATTCGAAAGCATCGAGCCGATTAGGATTGAGAGTCTGACGATTGGCGAGGGAAAGGGCGCAGTCCACGTTGTGCAGAATTACAAAAACGTGGAGATACACAACGTGCAAACCGCCAAGGTCGAACGTGTCGAGTAAGTAGAGCTTCTTGGATCCTCCTCCACGTGGATCTGATTTTTTCTTTTGGCATTCCCTCTTTTGACAAGTTGGAGTGGGGTGCGGGAGGGGGGAGGTAATTTTGTTGAAAATTTTTATTTTCAGCGCGGTAATCACGGATGACGAGTTCAAGGTGGTGGCCGACCTAACCATAAAAGACGTACACATGAACGCCCAGTACAGCCTGAACGGCAATATACTCATGCTCCCCATAAACGGCGAAGGAGACTGCGCCGTGGATCTAGGTAGGTCGAGGCCGAATCACGCAAACTAAAATGGCGCTCTTACAGAGGACCTGAAGGCTACGTTTACAATGATCGGCGAAATGTTCGAGAAGGACGGCAAAAAGTACATGGAGTTGAAGACGTTCAACGTCTCGCTGGTGCCGGGCCTGGTGGAGTTCAACTTTGAAAACCTCTTCAGTGGGGAGAGACAGTTAGGGGATGAGATGAATAAGCTGCTCAACGAGAATTGGAGGAAGATCTATTTGGATGTCAGGGCCGCTTACGAAGAGGCCCTTGGGGCAGTCTTTAAAAGTATAGCCAACCTAATTTTTAAAAAAATTCCCTACGACGAAATGTTTTAAGTTGGCTTAGGTACAATAGGCAGTGTAGTACTATTTGAAATAGAATTCATTCAATACCCTTTTTTTTACTTAGTAATTACGTGGAATGGCGCGTCTGTGAATGTTCAGAGGCACGTCCCTAGGGTAACCAAGATGATGACTGTGTTATACGGGTTTTGCGCTTGCTGATTCCTCGATTTTATGAAGGGCTTTGGGTCGTCCAGGAGGCCTCCACTGTATGTCGATAGCTTCCTTTGCTCGCGTAGCCGTTATGATCGAAGTAATGGAGTCGGTGGCGGCGGCGGTAGTGATTAGTTTCATTTCCTAGGCTTAATTTGGCTTCGGGGGTTGGGCCGGCGGTGATGTTCTGTTCGCGGTCCGTGCAGAATTGATATCCCTAAGCCTTCACGGGCATTTTACCCATAGCACAAGTGAAACGTGTTTACGAATCAGCTCCCCAGTTCCTTATTATCTGTGAAAGTCATTAACGTTGTGAAGATGGACGTTTTCAAGACCCTCCTTCTTTTCACCATCACCGAAGATAATTAGAACTTACGATCTTTACGGTTTTATGGTTGAATTTTGAACGATATATCTTGTTTATGACTAAGAAACCTAGAAACATATTATATATATAGTCGAAATTTGTATTTAGTCCATAACTTTTGATTGAGGGTCTAATCGAAAAAGTACGAATCGTTTTGAATTCTACGCACTTCTTATAGTTTGGCCCGTAGAATCCATAATTTCAAACAGTTCCAAGATTGGACTTACTAGATCAAAAGTTACAGCCCTTTGAACTTTTTATATATATATATATTCGAAATTTGTATTAGTCCATAACTTTTGATTGAGGGGTCTGATCGAAAAAGTACGAATCGTTTTAAATTCTACGCACCAAAATTAGTGAGAAAAAGTGTTTTCCCGAGAAATTTTGGAGCAGTTGATTTTTGGTAAAAATGGAAGGTAATACACTGCCTTTTTTTGAGGCCGGAACAAAAAATTGTCTGAGATCGACCGGGAACATTTTCTTATAGAGTTTGGCTCGTAGAATCCATAATTTCAAACAGTTCCAAGATTGGACTACTAGATCAAAACTTACAGCTCTTTGAACTTTATATATATACAGGGTGACAATTTGAAAACTTACCACCCCCCATATCTTAGTAAATAAACGAGATATTTAAAAAAATCAAAATCCGTTTCGGTAATTCGGAGGGGGAATCACAATGACATAGTTGGCGACGCACCCCCTCCAACCCCCTGCGCCCCAGCCACCCCAACTTTTAAATCTTAAATAGTGACCCCCATGTGTGATACGTCGTTGGAAAGCTCTGAAAAAATGCTTTCCAACCATACCAAATAGCATTACATTTAGGTTAGTAATTATCGTGCAAATCAAAAAATAAACTAATATGATACATTTGAAATCTGTCGTATTTAAAACGCAACCGGCGAACATAGACGAACTAAGACAGAGAATAATTCAAGAATGTCGAAATATTGCAAAACCAACATTTGAAAAGGTTCGACAAGAGTTTGAGAATAGATTATAACTGGCGATCAAAAATGAGTTGCTGTCGAGTCGGCTTTGGAAGTTCAAGTTAAATACGATTTTCCATGTTTATTTTTTGATTTGCACGATAATTACTAACCTAAATGTAATGCTATTTGGTATGGTTGGAAAGCATTTTTTCAGAGCTTTCCAATGACGTATCACACATGGGGAGTCCCTATTTAAGATTTAAAAGTTGGGGTGGCTAGGGCGCAGGGGGTGTGAGGGGGTGCGTCGCCAACTATGTCATTGTGATTCCCCCTCCGAATTACCGAAACGGATTTTGATTTTTTTAAATATCTCGTTTATTTACTAAGATATGGGGGGTGGTAAGTTTTCAAATTGTCACCCTGTATAGTCGAAATTTGTATTTAGTCCATAACTTTTGATTGAGGGGTCTGATCGAAAAAGTACGAATCCTTTTGAATTCTACGCACCAAAATTAGTGAGAAAAAGTGTTTCCCCGAGAAATTTTGGAGCAGTCGATTTTTGGTAAAAATGGAAGGTAATACACTGCCTTTTTTTGAGGCCGGAACAAAAAATTGTCTGAGATCGACCGGGAAAAAAACATTTTCTTATAGTTTGGCCCGTAAAATCCATAATTTCAAACAGTTCCAAGATTGGACTACTAGATCAAAAGTTACAGCCCTTTGAACTTTATATATATATATATATATATATATTATATATATATATATATATATATATATATATATATATATATATATATATATATATATATACGTCCCAGGCATGAGACCCAAGATTCAATAGGATGAAAAATTCGAGGGGTTAAATGCATTAGGTTCGAGACAAGTCCAACTTCAAGCTGTATTCCATTTTGAACTTTGAACTTTACACCGTGAACTTTGAACCCTTAACCAATACCGATCGATCTAAGATTCAAACCTAAAGATTGAAAACTTAAAACACAAATTATCGTTTACCCTCGCTCATAATGGACACTCACTGGACCACTGGATTTTTGGAACAAAATTTGGACGTTTCTACGTTTAACTACTGTAATTGTTAATCGTAATTCATTTTGGAAACAATATATCGTAAGGAATTTTAGAAAAAACTGTATTGGCGCCCTTTTTATACGCCTCTTCGTAAATGGTCATATATTTCTTCGTTTCCCCTCTCAGTATGGACTTCCAATTCTGGTTCATAAGCTTAGTTAAAAGTTCGCCAGACTTTCCGTCCTCTGATTCGAAAGTAAAGTGTGCCATCTCGATTATAGGTCCATTTAGAGACACGTCCGTTATTTTCAAATATCGATAGTCGCCATTTTGGTTTACAACACCATTAAATGTGGAAGTAAATCGGAAATTGTCACCCAGAAACACCTTTCTTCCTTTTCCACTCATATCGACCCCATCGAATATTGCTCCCTTGTAGTCGTAGTTGGCCTCGTACGAGGCGTTCTTAATGAATACGTTGAACGAAAGCGAAAAATCGGACTCTCCGATTTTGGCACTGAAATGACACTCGTGTTCAAGTTCGCGGCTGTAAACGGGCTCACTTACTCGACGTCTTTAATTTCACTCGATAGATGTCCTCCTATCCTGATGTCGGTCTCGGTGTGATCGAAACTTAAGGATTCGGTAGCTTTCACGATGTAAGCCGGTACGGTTAGCACGTCGAGGGGTGGAATGTCATACCCCATGTCTATCGAAATTTCAAAGGTTAAAGCCTCAGTCGTCCCTTCGTGAGTACCTAACTCACCGTTTTGTAGTGCCGACTGAATGGCCGACTGCAGACAGTTGTTCAGATTCGGATCGGTACGATGGCATGGTTGCAGTTTGGCTAAAATCAGAAGTAAATTGCGATCGGTCCGCGACCAAAATCACTACTTACACAGTGAGCGCGCTTCGCACACAAGAAAAGTAACCAACAAATACAAAAGTGTGCGACTCATATTGTAGGTGTGATTTAGACACGTTTTTCCTGTTTATATATAAAGATGGTGTGAACATGAATTTATTAGGCATAACCATTAATCGTTCATGGGAAGTACGCAAAGTAATTGGAGATAATTATACTGTGAAATAGCAGACGTAAGCGGAACAGCTATTTGCAATTATTTTGGAGCACTCCATCATTCAGTACTGGAGAGTTTCTATTTCTAAATGACCTTGTGACACATTATGCAACCATGGGAATATCTAGAGACACAGACAATATACTGTATTAACATTAACAGCGGTAAAAAAGAGATTTATGCATATGGGGGGGAGGGGGGGGCGAAAAGGGGGAAGGCATTTAGGAAAGACGAGTGGAAGTGCTGGTAAAAGGATGAAAGTGATAAATATATATCACAGAGAAGGAATGAATTAAAGAGCTGCGAAATAAAATAGGAAATATTGTACATGGGAGGGGGGCATTTTTCGAAAATAGTCTTCCATTATTCCTCGATATTTGTTTTGCTGGCGATACCCCCCCCCCCATTCATGATCCCTGTAGTACCGGGTAGAAGATCCCATAGTCCTTCCCCCCCCCCCCCCCGTGGACAAAAGTTACATTCCCACCTCCAGAATACCACCACCACTTTTCGGAAATAATCCCATCATCTTTCCCCACGAACATCATGAGACCTGAAACCTACAGAGGTTGTATGAGAGGGTGAGTCTGTGGGTATGAAATACCTCCCACTAGGCTACAGTCCTATTGCCAATTCCAGAATACCACCATGCGGGTACTGAGGTGTTAACATACTTTTTCGGTAATAGTCGCCAATTCTTTCGTTTGCTGGGGGGGGGGGGGGATACCATAACCCCAGGACCCCCGGTCTATGTTCTCTGTGATATCGAGATGAAGATCTCATAATTCTTCCCCAATAACGGCCATGAAATCTAAAGCCTAGAGGGGGGTAATACGACCACAAAAGTACTGAGGTGTTAACATACTTTCGGTCGGCACTTCCATGTTTTCAAAGGGCTTACATCTTTGTAAAAAGGAGTCTAAAGGCTTCTGAAGGTCTGTTGGAGAGGCTTTGGTCCCTTCAGAGCCCTATTCTTAAAGATCTGCAATACCACTTTTGTAAGTAGTCCCCTAGCCCCTACTCCACCTACTGAGGCACCGCTCCGCTTAGTCTTATTTATAAGGTCTTTTTGCATTTATGTCTCCTTAGAAAATCGACGTGCGGCATTAAAGCCACAAGTGGCACTTAAAGTTAACATCTGAAACAAAACGCATTTTCAGCGTTCAGTTTATTTCTAAGAAAAAGTTTGACGTCTAGAATGATGTCTGGAAAACAACATTAGTTGTGATAAATCTGCATACAATTTTCATCCTTGAAACTTGAAGGAATATTACTGAAGTGTGTCCCACATACATATGTAAATCATACTTTGACAGGTACATTTAAAATAAAATTTAATTAAATTTCGTTTCATTTTATGTACCGCCAAACATTTTACCTGAGAACCACGTATATTAAATTCTCATAGTAAAAAGAAACTAATTTTCTGACGAATTTATGCACTAGCAATAAATTACACTAACTACGTTGTAGGTGGTTTATAATAATTTGGCTACAATGAGACTTTGAAAGACGAATGGACGATTTTCAAGTCTCCCTTTTCCTTTCAAAGCTTTTAGCAGTACTTGATTGAAACTGAAGAGCTTTCAAAAGCTATCAGTGTCTTCAGTCTCTTGTCTCGTTTCAGTGTCTCCTCAGTCTCTCTTCAGTTCCTCTTCAGTCTCCCTTTAGTCTACCTTCAGTCTCCCTTCAGTCTCCTTTCAGTCTCTTAAGTCCCTTCAGTCTCTCTTCAGTATCCCTTCAGTCTCCCTTCAGTCTCTTCAGTCCCTTCAGCCCCTTCAGTCCCTTCAGTTCTTTCAGTCTCTAAAGTCTTTTCAGTCTCTTCTAGGGTCTCTTCCAGGGACTTCCAGGGTCTCTTCAGTCTCTTCTAGGGTCTCTTCGAAGGACTCTTTCAGAGCTTTTTCAGTCCTTTCAGTCTCTTCAGTCTCTCTTCAGTATCCCTTCAATCTCCCTTCAGTCTCTTTTCAGTCTCCCTTCAGTCTCTTCAATCTCTTCAGTCTCATCGTCTCTTCAGTCCCTTCAGTGCTTTCAGTCTCTTCAATCCCTTCAGTCCCTTCAGTTCCTTCAGTTCCTTCAGTTCCTTCAGTTCCTTCAGTTCCTTCAGTTCCTTCAGTTCCTTCAGTTCCTTCAGTTCCTTCAGTTCCTTCAGTCCCTTCAATCTTTTCAGTCTCTTCTAGGGTCTCCTTCCAAGGACCCTTCAAGGGCCTTTTCAGTATCTTCATTCCCTTCAATGCCTTCAGTCCCCTCAATCCCTTCTGTCCCTTCAGTCCTTTCAGTCTCTTCAGTCCTTTCAGTCTCTTCTAGGGTCTCTTCCAGGGACACTTCCAGGGCCCCTTCACTCTCTTCAGTCCCTTCAGTCCCTTCAGCCCCTTCAGTCCAATCAGTGCCTTCAATCCCTTCAGTCCCTTCAATCTCTTCTAGAGTCTCTTCCAAGGACTCCTCCAGGGCCTTTTCAGTCTCTTCAGTCCCTTCAGCCCCTTCAGTGCCTTAAATCTCTTCAATCCCTTCAGTCTTTTCAGTCTCTTCCAGGGACACTTCCAGGGATTTTTCAGTCACTTCAGTCTCTTCAGTTCCTTCAATCCCTTCAGTCCCTTCAGTCTCTTCAATCTTTTCAGTCTCTTCTAGGGTCTCTTCCAGGGACTTCCAGGGTCTCTTCCAAGGACTCTTCCAGGGCCTTTTCAGTCTCTTCAGTCTTTTCATCTCTTCTAGGGTCTCTTCCAGGGACTTCCGAGGTCTCTTCAGTTTCTTCTAGAGTCTCTTCCAAGAACTCTTCCAGAGCCTTTTCAGTCTCTTCAGTCCCTTCAGTCCTTCAGTCGCTTCAGTCTTTTCATCTCTCCTAGGGTCTCTTCCAGGGCCTCTTCAGTCTCTTCCAGGGTCTCTTCCAAGGACTCTTCCAGAGCCTTTTCGGTCTCATCGGTCTCTTCAGTCTCTTCAGAATCTACAGCCTCTACACCCTCTACAGTGCTTACAGCACTTGCACTCCATGCAGTCCCTGCAATCATTGCAGCCCTTACAGCCCTTGTAGTCATTGCGATCCTTGCGGTCCTTACGGTCCAGTCTTTGCAATCTTGCGGTCTTTACGGTCTTTACAGCCTTTACGATCTTTACGCAGTTTACGGCGTTTGCACTCTTTCCGGTTTTTGCGATCTTTTGAGATCTTTGCGATCTTTACGGTCTTTACAGCCTTTACAATATTAACAATCTTTACAATCTTTACAATCTTTACAATCTTTACAATCTTTACAATCTTTACAATCTTTACAATCTTTACAATCTTTACAATCTTTACAATCTTTACAATCTTTACAATCTTTACAATCTTACAATCTTTACAATCTTTACAATCTTTACAACTTTACAATCTTTACATCTTTACAATCTTACAATCTTTACAATCTTTACAATCTTTACAATCTTTACAATCTTTACAATCTTTACAATCTTTACAATCTTTACAATCTTTACAATCTTTACAATCTTTACAATCTTTACAATCTTTACAAGAATCTATCCAAACCTTCGGAACCTTTTTAGAACTTTGTTAGTAACTCTTAAGGTAAGATTGTAAAGATTGTAAAGATTGTAAAGATTGTAAAGATTGTAAAGATTGTAAAGATTGTAAAGATTGTAAAGATTGTAAAGTTGTTTGTAAAGATTGTAGAAAGATTGTAAAGATTGTAAAGATTGTGAAGATTGTGAAGATTGTGAAGATTGTAAAGATTGTAAAGATTGTAAAGATTGTAAAGATTGTAAAGATTGTAAAGATTGTAAAGATTGTAAAGATTGTAAAGATTGTAAAGATTGTGAAGATTGTGAAGATTGTAAATATTGTGAAGATTGTGAAGATTGTGAAGATTGTGAAGATTGTGAAGATTTTGAAGATTGTGAAGATTGTAAAGATTTAAAGATTGTAAAGATTGTAAAGATTGTAAAGGTTGTAAAGTTTGTAAAGATTGTAAAGATTGTAAAGATTGTGAAGATTGTGAAGATTGTGAAGATTTTGAGGATTGTGAAGATTGTAAAGATTGTAAAGATTGTGAAGATTGTGAAGATTGTGAAGATTGTGAAGATTTTGAAAATTGTGAAGATTGTGAAGATTGTGAAGATTGTAAAGATTGTAAAGATTGTAAAGATTGTAAAGATTGTAAAGATTGTAAAGATTGTAAAGATTGTAAAGATTGTAAAGATTGTAAAGATTGCAAAGATTGTGAAGATGTGAAGATTGTGAAGATTGTGAAGATTGTGAAGATTGTGAAGATTGTGAAGATTGTGAAGATTGTAAAGATTGTGAAGATTGTAAATATTGTGAAGATTATGAAGATTGTGAAGATTGTGAAGATTGTGAAGATTGTGAAGATTGTGAAGATTTTGAAAATTGTGAAGATTGTGAAGATTGTGAAGATTGTGAAGATTGTAAAGATTGTAAAGATTGTAAAGATTGTAAAGATTGTAAAGATTGTAAAGATTGTAGAGATTGTAAAGATTGTAAGTCCAAAAAACTATTTACTTCTGACAGATGCATTCGGGCAGACGGGCGGCATTTGCGCGTTTTTTACTGCCATCATGTCGCAATCAAAGGATTGGCAAAATGGGCTGTTTGTATCATTTTTAATTAGACACAAACACGAAATGGAACAAACTTGACACGTACACCTGTTGCACTTTAAACGATGCATTAAAAGTGGTGCAGCACTCAGACATGCAATGCGATAATTATCGATTGTACTTTGAAATTGATAGATCTAATACAGTGCGATCTCATGCGGCTACAACCTAAAAAGAAGAGATTGCGCACATGGTCTTAGCGTGGGTTTCGAGCGCTCCGTTTAGTCGTTTTCTAATAAAAATTCGTGACCAAATTCAACAACTCGATTTTGGACCAGTGCAGACAAACAGAAGTTGTGCCGGCGATTGTGCTAATTGATTTTGAACCACCCTGTATAACAAAAAGGGGACTCGACCAATGTGCGTAAAATAAATTTAAAAAAAAAGGAAAGACGATGTGCTCTTGCTCACCTTCGAGATGAACTCAAATATAAGCGAATCGTCCGAGATTCACGAGCAGATTTACTGAAACGAAACATGAAACTTCTCTCGTTGTGCTGCCTTGTGGCGAGCTCACTCGCATTGCAATTACGTAAGTTGAAATTGAGTAGGCGCAGCCTTAGAGGTCCGTTTCAGCGTCCGACTTTCCGAAATGCAAACTTGGCGATCCGAAAATGAACGAGTGTTTGATGGAGGCAGTTTTTGGAGGCATCCGAGTCATGGAGAAAGGCATGCCCGAGTTTCAGCTCGAATCGATCCAACCTATCACAGTGCCCAGCATGTCGATTGGAGGTGGTACGGGAGCAGTGCAAGTGGTCCAGCGCTACAAAAATTTCCAAATCTTCAATGTAGCGAAGGGAAGAACGGAATCCGTTGAGTACGTCGCAACTTGATTCTGCAACCGACTGTTATCATTTTTCTTCTTCCAGCTCCTCCATCACCGACAGGGAGTTTAAATTGAGCATGGTTATGCATTTGGAAGACGTGGACATTGTGTCACAGTATAAACTCAACGGAAGCGTACTCCTCCTCCCCATTTTCGGAGAAGGCGAAGTCAAAATCACGATGAGTAAGTAAACACCTACGAGTAGAACCGAGACCATTCCAGTTACGTCACAGCAAACACCAAAGTGCCATTCGAACTAATCGGCGAAGTCGCCGAGAAGAAAGGAACCAAGTACGCGGACATTTCCAGCGTTAAAATGGATTTAAATCCGGCGAAAGTGGTATTCGACTTCAAAAACCTATTTAAGGGCGATCCGCGGCTTGGTCCCGAAATGAATAATATACTGAACGAGAATTGGAAGGAGATCTTCAACGACGTAAAGCATGGATACAACGAGGCATTGAGCGCCGTTGCAAAAAATATAGCCAATCAGATATTCAGAAAAGTTCCTTACGATGACCTATTTCTCTAATGACCCTGTATAATTTTGCTTCGTTGCTCACCTAATAAAGTGTAGTGCATTAGATTAATTCTTTTTTACTTTCTACATTGTAATTAAACGAAATTTGTACATATAAAAAAAACATCTACCCAATTAGACCAGAGAAAGGGAGTTGATTAGTGTTTGTGTATCAATCTGATTTATTTTGAATGTCTATTAAGCTTACTTAGCGGCATTCATCTTGAAATATAACTTTACGGTTACCGTACCTAGGACCTTCAGATAACTTCTGGACTGGAGGAGGTCCGGGCAATTAACAATGTATTTCATTTACGTAGAATTCGGAATTTTTTCGGCTTCTTTTGTTCGATGAGTCCTAGAGGAACACCTTTGGCTTCAAATGCATTCCGTCTAGATTTATAGGAACCCTTCTGGAATTTGGTTCATTTTACACCAGTTTCGCCACTGAAAATAGTGACCACTGAGCTCCACACCGCGACAAGGGGGTGGCGGTGGGGTTAAAAGGCCTAGCACAGACAACATCCACACACATATACATTGGCGATTCTGCCCTATTATGTCTAAGAATATGTGTACCAAATTTGGTTCCCATCGGTTCAGCCGTTTAGTCGGAAATGAGAGTACAGGCAGACCGACAGGCCCTCATCATCGAGATCTCGGATTCCTGGTGCTTCAAAGCGTGTATTTGCGTAAACAAAAGTGAGGGGGCCGGAGTCATTTTCTACCCCAATGCAATGCCTCCCTTATTTACGTGTGGTACAGCAGAGCGAGTGGGTGGATGACAGAAAACGAGAGAGAGAAAAGAAAGCAACTAACTGAAGAAGGTGCGGAGGGAAAAGTACGAACAGAGAGTGTAAAAGAGAGAAAGCTGAAAAATAAAGAGATACTCACAGAATGTGGACGGTGAGATTGTTCATAAAGTGGTAGTGAAGCGAGGGTGAAGGAAAACATGGGAATGGCGGAAGGATGGTAACAACGGAAACCAAAGTGCGGGTAAGGGGTAGAAAAGAGATGGAGAAAGACAGTAGAAAGCGGAAGTAAGAATGAAAGGACCGAAAGTCTTTTTAAAAGGTTTCATCCTATGAATTCTTTTGAAAATTCTTGGGGTATTCACTTGAAATCACTTTTAAAATAGGAGCGCGGGAGGAAGAGAGACGGAGGAGGATAAAAAGAGACAGGGCCGGCTCAAGACAAAAGTTACTTTGGAAAGCAGGTTTTTAAAAATATAGAGGTCTACATATATGTATACGTAAAACACATTGTAACGTAAATTTAATTACGTGATTTATGTATTTACAATTAATTAACAATACATTTATAACAATGTTGAAATGAATTGATGTATAACATCCAAATACTATTTATCACTCACATTAACACAATTTATAACAGTGGGAACTATTTATTACTTCGGTGTTGAAATTGGAACTTTCCTGAAACGCAATTCGATTTACTTATATAGCCAACTCGAGTGCTCCCGAATGGTCTTCAACATTCTAGAACAAACCACATCACATTTCCCGGAAAGATTACTTCACATCCGCCGTTGTTTTTTTATCGCCGATTACTAATCTTTCATGGCGCCTCGATATCTATCGAGATTTCTGGAATATTCGCTACATAATTCCTTACTATATTAGGAACCTCCGGTGATACGTTCTCTGCAGTACTTCTTAGAAGGAGAGGATCAGATATTTTCTTCCTAAACCTACCATGAGATTCTTGTATAACGTTCAAAGGGCTGTAACTTTTGATCTAGTAGTCCAATCTTGGAACTGTTTGAAATTATGGATTCTACAGGCCACATTCTATAAGAAAAATTTTTTTCCGGATCGAACTGAGACAATTTTTTTTTCGGGGCCCAAAAAAAGGCAGTGTTATACCTTCCTTTTTTACCAAAAATCGACTGCACCAAAATTTCTCGGGAAAACACTTTTTCTTATTAATTTTGGTGCGTAGAATCCAAAACATCGATTAGACTTCTCGATTAAAAGTTATAGACTAGAAACCAATTTCGAAAGAAAATTCAAAGGGCTGTAACTTTTGATCTAGTAGCTCGATCTTGGAACTGTTTGAAATTATGGATTCTACAGGCCACATTCTATAAGAAAATATTTTTTTCCGGTCGATCTTAGAATTTTTTTCTAACCGTAATATCTCGAGAACGGTGCGTCGTAGATATGCCTTCCGACCCCTCGTTGGAAAGGCTTTCGACCAGCGCTATCGATTGGTGCTGTCAGAATTTTTTTTGGGCCAAAAAACAAATTGTCTCAGATCGACCGGAAGAAAATATTTTCTTATAGATTGTGGCCTGTAGAATCCATAATTTCAAACAGTTCCAAGATCGAGCTACTAGATCAAAAGTTACAGCCTTTTGAACTTTATATATATATACCACACACCACACACACACACACACACACCACACACAACAACACACACACACAACACACACACACACACCACACACCAACACACACACACACACACACCACACACACACACACACACACACACACACACAACACACACCACACACACACACACAACACACACACACCCACACACACCACACACACACACCACACACACACACACACACACACACACACACACACACACACACACACACACACACACACACATACACACACTATGAGATGATCAATCGTATCTTCATCAAGTTGTACCACTTGCGAGAGCTCTCCATCTAGGCCTTATCACCAAATAGAGAATCTAACCCTAAAACCTAACGTCCCCTTTAAAATTGATCAAGGACGGAAGACAAGGGACTGTAATTAGCCATTCGCAAAGCAATCTTTAATTACTGTGTTAATAATTAATTTAATTTGCAAGAAAACTGTCAATCAAGTTTTTGTGTTTGCGAAAAAATTGTTATTCAACTGTTTTGTCGAATTAGGCATGACTCACTTGATTGCGGAGCAAAAATCGGAACCAGATTTGTATTATTTACTTGTTTAATTAGCCTCGAAACCGAAATTTGCATTCCTTAATTACACTTTGCTTATCGATATTAAAACGCTTCATTTTTGGGTGGGAGAAATTGCAAAATTCCCATAAGCATTATGCAGAAGAAATCCAGTTCGAGTTTGAAGGTCTGCACGCGATTCGCGATTGTTTACAAATAATTACCTAACGTTAAAAAAAAAGGATGAGAAATCGACCAAGTTACTAATTAAACGCAGAAATTAAGGAGGAGTACCAAAAAATGAGCCTCTGGTTCACCTTGATTGTAAGTCTCGTCAGAATATAAAGATGAAAATGTGGATTACCAGACAAGTTTCCATTATGAAGACGTACGTGTTTTACTTCTTAGTGAGTGCCGCGGTTGGGTTGCAATTGCGTAAGTGCTGAAGGGATTAACACTCCGAAGAGTGATGACTTGGTTTCAGCGCCTGATTTTCCAAAATGCAGACGTGGGGATCCGAAAATAAACGAGTGCCTGAAGCCGGCGATTGAGGGAGCGCTTAAGATAATGGAGAAAGGTGAGGGTTGCTTGGCGTTTCTGTTTGTGGTTGAGCACACTTTGTGCAGGCATGCCCGAATTTAAGCTGGAGTCCATTCAGCCGATTACAGTGCCCAGCTTGACGATCGGAGAAGGAAAAGGAGCCGTTCAGGTCGTGCAGCAGTACGAAAACTGCAAAATATTCAACATACCCTCGGGGAAAATCATCGACGTTGAGTAAGTCGCAGCAAACCCGCGAGGAACTCATTCTTTGCCTTCCAGCTCACTCATCACCGAAAACGAATTTAGACTCAACACAACAATCCACCTGAAGGAAGTGTACCTGTCGTCCCAATACAAACTCAACGGCAGGATACTGCTTCTGCCCATTGTTGGAGATGGAGACTGCACAATAAAACTGAGTGAGTGAGTAGTATACGATCGTAAATCACTCCCTTAACCACAATCGTAGAAAACGCCAAGGTTCCCGTGGAATTAATCGGCTCCCCGATTGAGAAGAAAGGGCTCAAGTACATGGAAATTACGGACCTGAACGTTCACTTAAACGCAGAGAAGGTCGAGTTCGATTTCAAAAACTTGTTCAACGGCGATCCGCGACTCGGACCGGAAATGAACAAAATTCTGAACGAAAACTGGAAGGAGATCTTCGATGACGTGAAGTACGCGTACGACGAAGCCCTTGGGGCGATCTTTAAAACTATCGCGAACCTTATATTTAAAAGGGTTCCTTTCGCTGACTTACTTCTCCCCTAAAAAAATTGTAATTAAACGTTAGCATTTACCTTTAACATTATTTCTTAAACATGATTTTCCACCAAATGGCCTTGGTATCGTCTAACCCTTGACATTAGAGCAAGATATTGCAAATGATGCAAGCCGTAAAAGAGGAAATGAGATGGGTAGATGATGCGAAATGAGAAAGAAAAAGAACAACTGGTGGAAAGAACAACAAAACTAGAAGACGAGATGAAAGAAAGAAACAATATAAAGATCACAACAAGAAGAATATGGAGCGAGTAACAAAGAAGGGGGAAATAAGAAAAATACACAAGGTGACACAAGGGAAAATTGGTAGGGGAAAAGGAATAGGGAACAGTGTGAGAAGGAAAAAAGGGAGTTGGGAAAGAAAAAAATGCAGGGTAAAAAAGCTCGCAAAAGACCGAGGTCGTTCCATTTACGAATAGACGGAGAGCGAACCTTGTTGGTCTCACTCTTCGAGGACGTCAACCTATAGTGGGGGGTATTCGATATCCCCCCAGACTCCACGGTGACAGCTTCCATCGAGAAATGTTTAGCCCTAACGAATTCCATAATGGTTTTTGGGAAAATGATAAGATCCTCTTCTGTTAAATAGTATTCCATAGTACATAACACCGGGAAAAAACATTTTCTTTTGTATTTTGGCCTGTAGAATCCTTAATTTTTAACAGTTTGAAGATTGCGCCCCTAAATCATAAGTTACAGCCCCTTGAATTTTTTTTAAAATTGGTTTTTGGCCTATAACTTTTGATTCAGATGTCCAATCGCCAAAATACGAAACGTTTTGGAATCTACGTAGCTAAATTAATAGGAAAAAGTTTTTTCCCGAACATTTTTGGGGTGGTCGATTTTCGATGAAAAGCAAGGCAGGCCCTTGCCTGTTTTTTGGGTCGGAAAAATGAATTGTCGGAAATCGACCGGAAAAAAACCTTTTCTTTTGTATTTTGGCCTGTAGAATCCATAATTTTTAACAGTTTGTAGATTGCGCCCCTAGATCATGAGTTACAACCCCTTGAATTTTTTTTGAAATTGGTTTTTGGCCTATAACTTTTGATACAGATGTCCAATCGACAAACTACGAGACGTTTTGGAATCTACGTAGCTAAATTAATAGGAAAAAGTTTTTTCCCGAACATTTTTGGGGTGGTCGATCTTCGGTGATAAGCAAGGCTATACACTTGCCTATTTTTTGGATCGGAAAAATGAATTGTCGGAAATCGACCGGGAAAGAACCTTTTCTTTTGTATTTTGGCCTGTAGAATCCATAATTTTTAACAGCTTGAAGATTGCGCCCCTAGATCATAACTTACAGCCCCTTGAATTTTTTTTGAAATTGGTTTTTTGCCTATAACTTTTGATTCAGAGGTCCAATCGACAAAATACGAGACGCTTTGGAATCTACGCAGTTAAATTAATAGGAAAAAGTTTTTTCCCGAACATTTTTGGGGTGGTCGATCTTCGGTGATAAGCAAGGCTATACACTTGCCTATTTTTTGGATCGGAAAAATGAATTGTCGGAAATCGACCGTAAAAAAACGTTTTCTTTTGTATTTTGGCCTGTTGAATCCATAATTTTTAACAGTTTGAAGATTGCGCCCCTAGATCATAACTTACAGCCCCTTGAATTTTTTTTCGAAATTGGTTTTTTGCCTATAACTTTTGATTCAGACGTCCAATCGACAAAATAGGAGACGTTTTGGAATCTACGTAGCTAAATTAATAGGAAAAAGTTTTTCCCGAACATTTTTGGGGTGGTCAATCTTCGGTCGTAAGCAAGGCTATACACTTGCCTATTTTTTGGAACGGAAAAATGAATTGTCGGAAATCGACCGGGAAAAAACATTTTCTTATGTATTTTGGCCTGTGGAATCGATAATTTTTAACGGTTTGAAAATTGGACTGCTAGATCAAAAGTTACAGTCACTTGAATTTATTTTGAAATTGGTTTTTGGCCTATAACTTTTGATACAGATGTCCAATCGACAAACTACGAGACGTTTTGGAATCTACGTAGCTAAATTAATAGGAGAAAAAGTTTTTTCCAGAAAGTTTTTGGGGTGGTCGATTTTCGATGAAAGGCAAGGCTATATACTTGCCTATTTTTTGTGTCGAATAAATGAATTGTCCGAAATCGACCGGGAAAAAACGTTTTCTTATAGATTTTGGCCTGTAGAATCCATAACTTCAAACAGTTTGTCCGTTGTCAAGTTTTAATAGTCTACTGTAGTTGATTCGTATATTGAAAGTATTTATTTTTTGATATGGGATTACATTTTGGTTAAGGCTTGCTCGATTTCCTACCGATTAATTAAGACCATTTGTTCACGGCAAAAAGATGTCCACCATATGCCCCAGTAGAAATTGTGTTACGGAAGAAACAGGTCATCGTACGGAACCTTTCGAAATATCAGGTTACCGACATTCTTAAAAACTGCCCCCAAGGCGTCCTCGTACGCATACTTCACGTCCTCAAAGATCTCCTTCCAATTCTCGTTTAGTATCTTATTCATTTCCGGCCCCAACTTTGGATCTCCGTTGAATAAATTCTTGAAATCGAATTCCACCTTATCGGGGATCAGCTGAACCTTTAGGCTCGTTATTTCCACGTACTTGACGCCATTCCTCTCGGAAACCTCCCCAATTTGTCGGGTGGGCACCTTTAGGTTGTCTACGGCACGATTGTAGTCGCAAGTTCTCGACGAACCTTACCTACGTAGCTGAATTGTGCACTCCCCTTCTCCAACAATGGGGAGAAGCAGTATCCTCCCGTTCAGCTTGTAGTGGGATGTCACGTACGTTTCCTTTAGGATATACGTCACGTTTATGTTGAATTGGTGGTCGGTCACAAGGGAGCTGGAAAAGGACGGATTGAACTACAAGTACCTACTCCCCGACCCACCTAAGGTCCACAACTTCCGCCGAGGGTATGTTGAACAGTTGCCAGTTCTGGTAATTCTGAACGACTCGCACGACGCCCGTACCCTCTCCGATCGTCATGTTGGCCACGGTGATCGGTTGGGTGGACTCGAGCTTAAATTCCTTTATACCCGTGCCCATAACCTGATAGGCCCTTTCGATCGCCGACTTCAAGCATTCGTTTATCTTCGGATCTGAACGGCTGCATTTTTTAAATTCGGCAGCTGAAACGAAACCGCTTAGTCTTCGCCAACTGATGCGAGTAACTTACGTAATTGTAATGCCGTAGTGACCGCTAAAAAGGAAAACGTGTACAACATCATCTTTTCCTCTGTCGACTAATTGCACAACCTTCCTTATATTTATGCAGTAATTACTGCATTAACACCCACGTTCATTGATGACACCTGTTAAATGCATCTATTATCTAATTATTGAGTAGATTTGCATGTTTTTATAGCAAAAAGGTTTAAAATTATTAGTTTTCATATACCGAGCGTTTTTTTTGCGAATCATTACACCATTATCGATTGTTTCAAGGGCTACTACAATTAAACAAAACGGTCATAGCCTTTTTAACACGCAGTATGTAAAGCGTATTTAAATTAGATAGCCTTCAACAAACAGTATTGCATAAGTAATCAAAATTGCATTCCTTAGTCTCTTTTAAGTGCTCGGTTTTGTTTGTCTGTCTCGGAATGGGCTATAATAATAATTATTTTGCACACGCAGTGTTATACTTAACCGCCTGTCCTAATCTAAAATCGTGCTGTAGTAGAAGTAAAATAACCGGAAACGGTCCCAACAAAACATATTGGACCACTTTTTAAATAGGAAATGTTTTTACAATATTTACAATGGAAACTATGGTTTACTTAAATGCTTAGAATCAAACATTCCGCGTAGACGACTCAACGCCAACGGACTTATGGCGAAGCCCATTAGATTAATACTATTTCAGACGTGGGGGCAAAAGGGCTGCGCCCTGGTATCCGGAAATACTTCAAATACCTTGGATCCTTTTGATTCTTGTATGAAACTTTCTTGAATCCTTTTTGAAACCCTCTTAACGCTACTTGATCCTCTGTAATTATTTGCGAATTTTTAGATAAAGTCGAAATCTTTGATATTTTGATAGTTATGATAGGCATTACATATCATAGAAGATCTACAGGGTGTCAAAATTAGAGGATTGAATTTTCCAATAAACGGCATCGCTAGAGGAATTGAAAAAATTCGTAAGTCATTGGTGGAATGAATTAATGATCTTCTTCGCGTCATTTGATTTCTATAGCGCGTTGTCCTCTTAACCGCTTTTCGGTTCCGGACAGTCGCACATAAAAATAGCTAGGGATCATTTTATCTCAGTCGGGATCCCCAGTAAACGAAAACCAGATGACCGTTTCCCTACATCCATGAAATCATACGCACAAAAATCTCGTAATGTGCTGGGGGGGTATTTCATACCCCCCCCCCCTCTTGGTGTTGAAAGTACACTAATTTCTGAAGCCTGTCGTGATCCTAGAGGAAAGGACCTTTGAATCTGCCCTTTTGACTTCTGTTTTTGGTTGGCCACATAACACCGAGGGGTCTGGGGGGTATGGAATACCCCCCCCAGTAAACCAAAATCAAATGACGGTTTTCCTACACCCATGAAATCATACGCACAAAAATCTCGTAATATACTGGGGGGTATTTCATGCCCCCCCCCCCCCCCCTGGTGTTAGGTTTTTTTTCCAAAAATAAGGTAAGCCGAATCCTGTCGTGATACTGAGAAAGGGACCTTTAAATCTGCCTTTTTGGCTTCTGTTTTCTAGTTGAGCATATAACAACGGGGGGTTTTGGAGGTATGGAATACCGCCCAGTAAACGAAAATGAAGTTACCGTTTCCGACATCCATGAAATCATACGCACAAAAATCTCGTATATACTTGGGGGTATTTCATGCCCCCCCCCCCTGGTGTTAGGTTTTTTTCCAAAAATAAGGTAAGCCCTGAATCCTGTCGTGATACTTGAGAAAGGGACCTTTAAATCTGCCTTTTTGGCTTCGTGTTTCTGAGTTGAGCATTAACAACGGGGGGTCTGGGGGGTAATGGAATAACCGCCCAGTAAACGAAAATGAAATTACCGTTTCCCGACATCCATGAAATCATTACGCCGAAAATCTCGTAAATATACTGGGGGGTATTACATACTCCCCCCCCCGCCCTTGGTGTTATTTTTCTTCCAAAATACGTAGGTCCTGAAGCCTGTCGTGATACTGAGAAAAGGACTTTTAAATCTGCCTTTTTGGCTTCTGTTTCTAGTTGAGCATATAACAACGGGGTCTGGAGGGTATGGAATACCCCCCAGTAAACGAAAATGAAATGACCGTTTCCCGACATCCATTGAAATCATACGCACGAAAATCTCGTAATATACTGGGGGGTATTTCCTGCCCCCCCCCCCCCCTCTTGGTGTTATGTTTTTTTCCAAAAATAAGGTAAGCCCTGAAGCCTGTCGTGATACTTGAGAAAGGGACCTTTAAATCTGCCTTTTTGGCTTTAATTTCCATTTGAGCATATAACACCGGGGGGTCTGGGGGGTATGGAATACCCCCCACTAAACGAAAATGAAATGACCGTCTCCCGACATCCATGAAATCATACGCACGAAAATCTCGTAATATACTGGGGGGTATTTCATGCTCCCCCCCCCCTTGGTGTTATGTTTTTTCCCAAAAATAAGGTAAGCCCTGAAGCCTGTCGTGATACTTGAGAAAGGGACCTTTAAATCTGCCTTTTTGGCTTCTGTTTCTAGTTGAGCATATAACAACGGGGGGTCTGGAGGGTATGGAATACCCCCCAGTAAACGAAAATGAAATGACCGTTTCCCGACATCCATGAAATCATACGCACGAAAATCTCGTAATATACTGGGGGGTATTTCATGCTCCCCCCCCTCTTGGTGTTATGTTTTTTTCCAAAAATAAGGTAAGCCCTGAAGCCTGTCGTGATACTTGAGAAAGGGACCTTTAAATCTGGCTTTTTGGCTTTAATTTCCATTTGAGCATATAACACCGGGGGGTCTGACCCCCCAGTAAACGAAAATGAAATGACCGTTTCCCGACATCCATGAAATCATAAGCACGAAAATCTCGTAATATACTGGGGGGTATTACATACTCCCCCCCCCCCGCCTTTGGTGTTATTTTTTCTCCCAAAATACGCTACGTCCTGAAGCCTGCCTTGATACTTGAGAAAAGGACCTTTAAATCGACAGGCTTCAGGACCTAGCGTATTTTGGAAAAAAAAAACACCAAGAGGGTGGTGTAAAACCCTCCGGTATATTACCCCTCCAGATCCCTCGGTGATATGTTTTTTTTTCGAAATACGCTAAGCCCTAAGGCCTGTCGTGGTACTAAGGGTGTGTCTGGGTCGTTCGTCCTTGGTTCAGGGGAGCAATCTGAGAAAGAGCCCATATGTTCTGGAGCATCCGTGCACGTGGTTCCATTGAATGTTGTTGACCAGGTGGAGGGGGGTGGGAGCGCTTTCCTCGGCTGGCAGGGTTCCGCGTGAATCCGCGTTGTAGCAGAACGCGAGCACCAGTCGACCGTGGAAGGTCAGAGGCACGTCCTCAGGGTATCCAAGGTGATAGCTGTGTTATACGAGCTCCCGGATGACACGGCCACCGCCTTGAAGCGCCTCCATAGGCAAAATCCTAGTTTCAAGACGAACCTATGGTGGACGTTTCTCCGCAAGGAGGAACGTGGTAGGGTCCTCCTCTCATATGGTGTCGATGATGATGTCCTATGGGCACTCCAGCGGCAGAACTTTCGTGCACAGGCGATCTCGTCGCTCTAAGACTTGGGGTATTCCATACCCCCAGAGCGAGGATCTTCCCCATTACAGTACCCCTCTAAGGACAGAAGCTACACTTCACGAGCTCCTGGTGTTAGTTTTATGGTTCCTTTCGATGGAGTGATCGTTGGTATGCGTTTTGGGGAAGAATGTAGAACTGTGGAGTCTGGGGGATATGAAATACCTCCAAGAACACGATCCTCTTCTCTATAAAAGGTCTTCGTGTATACTGGTGGGTATTCCATATCCCTCAGTGGTACATTATTCCCCATCACATCCACCCCTAAGGATTGTTGTGGTAGTTCTTTGTAAGGAACTACAGATTCCACATTTCCTAACGAGAATTCCATACTCCACGAACTGCTGGTGTTATCTTTTATGGTCCCTTTCAAAAAATGAGGGTTGATATGTTATGTGCAGTATACGTCTTGGGGAAAAATGTAGAACCGGGAGGTCTGGGGGGTATGGAATACCCTCCAGGATCAGGACTCTCTTCCCTATAATTCTCCTAATGTCTTCGTATATACTGGGGGCCCGAGATTATCCTAAAAGTTGCTCCCTTGTGAGAGACAGGATTCAAAACGGGGTGACCAATCAATTTTTCAACTCTTACCTTCCTCTACATCTTCGGTTACCAAAAACCAAGAATAAGTAAGGCAAGAGGATCTCCTATCCATTTTCCCTCAAGTGAAGTCCTTCCAAAACTGCCACATTTCCTTTTCAGCCCTTAAGGCCTCTTCTTCGACTTCCTCTGGCACAATATCCAAGTAACTAAGACGCCCAGCAATACTTTCTTTCTCAAAACTCAAGACCCCATCCGCCTAGTGATTTTCTATGACATTTTTTACCGAAAATCACACTCTTCATTGGCATTTTCCGTTTTTCTTCTAGGAACTGGGCCAGCGCGAAGATTGTAGAGTTCCCCAATTAAGGGGAACGATTTTAAACGACCCTCACATTAAGAAAGATACTGTTATCGTCTAATGGTAATGGTAAGTCCAATAATTAAGTGCGAGACACCGTGTCCTTGCTCACCTTGGCGTCTCGATCAAATAAAAGGAAGTGGCCGCGTTTTCGTCTCTCATCAAGTCAGACATGAAGTGGTTCCTGCTGTACTTCTTGGCGGTCGGTGTCGTAGCCTTAGAATTACGTAAGGAGGTAAACGCGAGCCTAAGAACACTTAACGATTCGTTTCAGCACCCGATTTTCCGAAATGCAAACGTTCCGATCCCAAACTGAACGATTGTATGAAAACGGCGATCGAAGGGGCACTCAAGCTCATGGAGAAAGGTAAAGATTGCTGTCCAGCGTTGTTTACTTATCCTTTCTCCCGATAGGTTTGCCGGAATTTAAGGTCGAGCCCATTCAGCCGATCACTGTTCCCAGCTTGACCATCGGTCAAGGGAAGGGCCCCGTGCAAGTCGTGCAGAACTACGAAAACTTTAAGATCTACAATTTACCGTCGGCGAAAGTTGCAGATCTTAGGTAGGTGGTAAATAACTGGCGTCTTTTAAACGCGATTTTTCTCCTCCCCAGCTCCAGGCTTTCCGACAGCGAGTTCAAGATGAACATCACGTTCCTCTTCAAAGAGGTGTACCTGGCGTCCCAGTATAAGCTGAACGGGAAGATACTTCTCCTCCCCATTGTTGGAGAGGGAGACTGCACAATTAAACTAAGTGAGTAGCCAATGTTCATGCGGTCATTACTAATAATCGCGAATAGTGAATGCCAAGGTGCCAATGGAGATGGTTGGTCGGTTTTTCGAAAAGAAGGGTGTTAAGTACGCGGAAATCTCGGACATAAAGGTTCACCTCGGTGGCGATAAGGTGGAGTTCGATTTCAAGAACTTATTCAACGGCGATCCGCGTTTGGGCCCGGAAATGAACAGGATACTTAACGAGAATTGGAAGGAGATCTTCGATGACGTGAAGTATGCTTACGACGAGGCTTTCGGTGCCATTTTTAAAAATATTGTCAACCTGATAGTGAGAAAGGTGCCATACGATGAATTACTCCCCATGTAAGATACACTTGTACAATTTTGTTTTGTATTTTATCCAATACAGATTCTAGCATAATTTTGTTTTTACCGAAAAGGCCGAAAAAAATTAATAGCAATTTAAAAACATTTTCCATTATTGCATCTTTTAAAAAACAAGAGAGTCAAATATAAAGCAGCGTAGTACTTGAACTACAGATTCAGTTTTGAACCCCTATCTGGACACCCCCCATAGAATAAGGAAATAGGTACCCGGAGGAAATTACACAATACTGTCTAGAATTTTACAACCACCAAAACTGACTGTCTTTCGCCAAAATGGTAACCAAAAAGCGACCGTACAACAATTCCCTTTTTCATTCCTTCTCTATCGCACTCTCAATTTCTTCACCTCCACTTCCACGCGCCTTTCCCGTAAGTATGTCTTCATCCTCTTTGAATTCTTCTCCCAATTCCCTGATTTCCTTTTTGCACTCCTGTTAGTGGACTTCCTGTTGGTCTTTCCTATATGGACTACCCCCAGCATACACGAGGACCCTATTAAAATTATAAGGAATAAGAGAATCGTATTCCTAGGAGGCATTCTATATTCCACAGACTAACACCAGGACCTCGGTGATTATTGAAGTCAGAAAATGTAGATTCTGCAGTTCCCTACGCGAAAGTACTACAACAGTCCTTAGGGATGAGTGTGATGGGGAAGAACGAAGCACCGGGGGGTCTGGGGGGTATGGAATAACCCCCCATCATACACGAGGACCTTATTAAAATTATAGGGAGTAAGACAATCGTATTCCTAGGGGGTATTCCATATCCGTCAGACTAACACCAGGACCTCGGTGATTATTGAAGTCAGAAAATGTACATTCTGCAGTTCCCTACGCGAAAGTACTACAACAGTCCTTAGGGATGAGTGTGATGGGGAAGAAAGAAGCACCGGGGGGTATGGAATACCCCCCAGCATACACGAGGACCTTATTAAAATTATAGGGAGTAAGACAATCGTATTCCTAGGGGGTATTCCATATCCCTCAGACTAACACCAGGACCTCGGTGATTATTGAAGTCAGAAAATGTAGATTCTGCAGTTCCCTACGCGAAACTACCACAACAGTCCTTAGGGATGAGTGTGATGGAGAAGAACGTAGCACCGGTGGGTCTGGGGGGTATGGAATAACCCCCCATCATACACGAGGACCTTATTAAAATTATAAGGAGTGGGATAATCGTATTCCTAGGGGGTATTCCATATCCCTCAGACTAACACCAGGACCTCGGTGATTATTGAAGTCAGAAAATGTAGATTCTGCAGTTCCCTACGCGAAACTACCACAACAGTCCTTAGGGATGAGTGTGATGGGGAAGAAAGAAGCACCGGGGGGTCTGGGGGGTATGGAATACCCCCCAGCATACACGAGGACCTTATTAAAATTATAGGGAGTGAGATAATCGTATTCCTAGGGGGTATTCCGTATCCCTTAGACTAACACCAGGACCTCCGTGAGTATTGAAGTCAGAAAATGTGATTCTGCAGTCACGCGAGTCCTTAGGGATGAGTGTGATAGATTCTGCAGTTCCTTACGCGAAACTACCACAACAGTCCTTAGGGATGAGTGTGATGAGGAAGAATGTAGCACCGGGGGGTCGGGGGGGTATGGAATACCCCCCAGAATACACGAGGACCTTATTAAAATTATAGGGAGTAAGACAATCGTATTCCTAGGGGGTATTCCATATCTCTCAGACTAACACCAGGACCTCGGTGATTATTGAAGTCAGAAAATGTACAAGTACGAAATGTAATTCTGCAGTTCCCTACGCGAAACTACCACAACAGTCCTTAGGGATGAGTGTGATGGGGAAGAAAGAAGCACAGGGGGGTCTGGGGGGTATGGAATACCCCCCAGCATACACGAGGACCTAATTAAAATTATAGGGAGTGAGATAATCGTATACCTAGGGGGTATTCCGTATCCCTTAGACTAACACCAGGACCTCCGTGAGTATTGAAGTCAGAAAATGTACATTCTGCAGTTCCCTACGCGAAAGTACTACAACAGTCCTTAGGGATGAGTGTGATGGGGAAGAAAGAAGCACCGGGGGGTCTAGGGGGTATGGAATACACCCCAGCATACACGAGGTGATGGGGAAGAACGAAGCACCGGGGGGTCTGGGGGGTATGGAATACCCCCCAGCATACACGAGGACCTTATTAAAATTATAGGGAGTAAGACAATCGTATTCCTAGGGGGTATTCCGTATCCCTTAGACTAACACCAGGACCTCCGTGAGTATTGAAGTCAGAAAATGTAGATTCTGCAGTTCCCTACGCGAAACTACCACAACAGTCCTTAGGGATGAGTGTGATGGGGGAAAACGTAGCACCGGGGGGTCTGGGGGGTGTGGAGTAACCCCCAGGATACACGAGGACCTTATTAAAATTATGGGGAGTAAGATAATCTTATTACTAGGGGGTATTCCATATTCATCAGACTAGCACCAGGACCTAGGTGAGTATTGAAGTCAGAAAATGCAGTTCCTTACGCGAAACTACCACAACAGTCCTTAGGGATTATGGTGAAGAACGTAGCACCGGGGGGGGGGGGGGGGGGGGTCTGGAGGGTATGGAATACCCCCCAGGAACACGACCCTAAAAACCGGGGGGTCTGCGGGGCAAACCTCCAGAATTGTATATCTTTGCTTCCTATCCTCTGTTTCCCCCCTCCGCCCCGCCGTCTCACTCCATCTGTCCTCTGTTTAGCGGTTAATCTAAACTCCCAATTTTTCTCTCTTTGCTTTTCTGTATTCATGCGGCAACTCGTCAGATCTGTACATTGCGCGCCCCTTTAACTTTTCCTTATAATTTCCCCTTCCTTTTCCCATGTCAATTCCCCGATTACCATATCTTATTTCTTTCTATTTCTATTGTTCTCGCCTTTTTTACACTCGTTTCTACTTTCTTTTACTCATTCCTCATACCCGATTGCGCCATCCCTTGTCTCCTTTACTCTCTACCTCTGTTCCCTCCTCTCAATCCAGCGCAGCTACCGATAACTTATCTTGACAGAACCATGGAACTGATGGAACGATTGGAAAATGGATATTTCTGCACTCGAGAGGGGTAGTGGACAAACTCTCAGTATTTCACTACAATTTTTGATCCTAGATCTTTTGTATGTAGTAACAGTAATAACCTGGTTTTTTGTACCAACCAGTGCACTAGTTATGGGTCATTCGGCACAGTTTAGTAGTCACGGCCATCTCACACCTTCATGGTGTACGGTAGAACCTTCGCGTTTAGATCATGACAATTCAATGGTCAACCATCGTCATGTCTAAGTACCAGACGCCCTTGGGCCTATAACCTGATAAAGTCTTTTTGCTACTCTCGTTCAAACGAAACTAACCTTTATCCGGTTAGATCTTCGAGGCCCTTTTCGACAAGCTACTATACTCGCAATTTTAAACTTGCGGTAATTGTTTCAAGTTTAAACGAATTAAAAAATCGAACAAGCGGAGTGGTATTAGTACTTGTTAACCTTCGCACTAAATTAACACAATTATTGCGAAAGTAAGTACACAAGTGCAAGACAACGATGCTGTACCTGTCGATTTTGTGCGCTCTCCCAACCATCTCGTACGCTTTACAATTACGCAAGTTGAAGACAACGACTTTAGTTCGAAAACTAACCGACTCTTTTTCAGCGCCCAATTTCCTAAAATGCAAACGGTCCGATCCAAAAATCAACGACTGTCTGAAACCGGCGGTGGGGCGAGCAATCCACATCATGGCGGAAGGTTGAAATTACTCTTACGTTAGCTTCTCTAAGCGCCTTCCCTCTGCAGGTATGCCGGATTTCAAGATCGAGCCCATACAGCCCATTAGGGTGCCCAGTTTGAAGATTGAGGGGAGCGTCACCCAAAGCTACGAAGATTTCCAAATCTTCAACGTACCATCGGCGAAGATTACGCACCTTGAGTAAGTACCCTCGCGATTTTCCCCGGATGTTACCACCTCCATCCGCCAGCTCCTCCATAACCGACGACGAGTTCAACCTGAACCTGACGGTCTTCTTGAAAGACATCCATATAGCGGCCAGGTATAAACTGCAAGGGCAAATTCTGCTTCTTCCCATTGTTGGAGAAGGTAACTGCACGACTGATCTCAGTAAGTGAAGGACGAATGTTAACCAATTGATAATGACGGTGTCGCAGGGAATGCCAAAGTTAGTTTGGCACTAAGTGGTGTGCCAACCGAGAAGACAGGGAGAAAGAACGTTGAGATTCGGAGCCTAAAAGTCAATTTGGACCCTGAAAAGGTCGAATTCGACTTCGAAAATCTCTTCAACGGTGACACTCAGTTGGGGCCGCAAATGAACAGGATTATGAACGAGAACTCGAGGGAGATCTTCAATGACGTTAGGCACGGGTACGAAGAGGCTTTGGGGGCAGTTTTCAAAAATATCGCCAATCTTATCTTCAAAAGGATTCCCTACGACGAGTTGGTTCCATTATAATACCCTAGTGCCATATTCATGGCGTGGATTATAAACTTTTGTGTAAATTAATTACAATAAATTCGGCGATTTGTTTAGCTCTCCTTCAAAACCCTTAAGACCTCCTTTCCTTCTAGCTCCCATGTGATTGGCCCCAGTCACAGCATCGTCGTATGTCCAAAATCCGCTCTGGAGGGAACACCTATGCAAAATATGATCCGCCCGCCAGAGAAAGTAGAGAGAGGAAGGAGGGGGGACAAACAAAAGAAAAACCATGGATAAAGTAATGGAAATTGATGAAAGGGCGGCTAATGAGGCAAGAGAGAAAATAGGAACCGTGAAAGGGCAGTTGATGTAGGGCATCGGAGGATTATGGGAAGAAATTAACAGCAATGGCACAAGGAAAAAAGAGCTGGTAGCAAAAAGCAAAGCAGACAAAGAAAACGGACCAGTGAGTATAGAAAGAAAGAGAACGGAAAAAAGGGAAGACGGAGCGAGAAACGAACAGCAGAAGAAAGGGGCAAAACGGAATAAAGATGAAGATGGTGGTCTGGAATGTGGCGAGGGTACAATAAATTCTGGAAGTTTGCACATGATTTTGTGGAGATGGCGTAAATATGGGGAAGGAATTGGGAGAAAATAAAGACTAGGACACCAAGTTAGTATGTACATATGGAAGAAGCAACTCGCGAAGAATGAAAACGTAAAAGCAGGATTTCGTGACGAAAACGACTGTACTGATTATCACAGTGAAATCGCCATCTTTCCCTTTGCTGGAAAATACTCCCCCCCCCCCCGCCTCGCGGTTGTATATTTTATCCAAAACAATTAGTGTCTTTTAGTATTCACGGTATACATTCGGTATACTGGAACGACCCCCCCCCTGTGTTGTGTTTGCCCAAAACAAATAGTGTCCCTTCGTAGGTATTCAAGGTATACATTTTTGGAGGCAGGTATTGAACCTCGCATTGGGCGTACCACAAGTCTTATTAATCAAACTTTCGTACACGATTTGGGGGGGGGGGGGGGGCTCGATGGAGCTCCGGTATCCTATTCTTTATTTTCTTCCAGTTCTTTCCTCTTTCCACAATTGCACCCTTGCATATGGAAGAATGTGGAGGGGAGAGGAGCATAAGAGGAAAAAGGAGGGGGTAATATTTGGGGGAGATTTAAGTGCCAGAACAGGGAATATTTTATTATATATATTATATTATAATATTAATACATCATATATTAAAAATGACAAGACAACTCAAATATACACTACGAGAAGGAAACATAAGTCGTATACGGGGGGGGGGGGGGCGGTTATACCTGGGGGGTCGCACCTCCCAGACCCCCGGTTCAGTGTTTACCCAATACAATTAGCGCCCCTAGGTACTGAAACTATTTCTTCGGGAGGGAACCATTGAATCTCGTGATTTCGTGACCAAAAAATTATATCATGATGATAATGATGATTGCAGTGAAAGTATCATCTAATTCTCTTTTACTGGCGGGTACTGGGGGGGGAGGGGGGGTATCATCCAGCATACGAACATTTCTTTCGTGTGAGTGTACAAATTATTTTAAGATGCGTGCAGTGAAAAAGTATTCAAATTGTCCTTTAATGTAGGGTATTCTTGACGTGGAGGGAGGGGGGGGGGGTTAAAATGTGGTACCGAGGGGTGTGGGGAGTATGGGATGTACCCCAGCATATGAATATTTCTTTCGTGAGAGTATACGAATTATTTTAAGATGATTGCAGTGAAAATATCATCGAATTTTCCTTTACTGGAGGGTATCGTTGACTCACTAGGGTGTAGAGGAATGTGGCACCCAGGGGTCTGGGGGGTATGGGGTACCCCCAGCATACCAATACTGATTCCGTATGAATATATGAATTATTTCACTATGACAATGACGATTGCTGTGAAAGGAAAATCGAATTCTCCATTACGAGAGGGGGGGGGGGGTACCACGAAGGGTCTGGGGGTATGGGATGGACCTCAGCATACGAATATTTCTTTCGTATGAGTAATTTAGTATAAGACTTATTTCATTACGATTTTGAAGGGGTATCGTTGACTGGGGGTGGAGCAATGCGGTACGGAGGGGTCTGGGGTATATGGGATACCCTCCACCCTACGAATACTGCTTTCGTATGCGTATATGATTATTATTTCATGATGATAATGAGGGCTGTAGTAAAAGGATCATCGAATTCTCCCTTACTGGAGGATATCGTTGACTGGGGGTGGAGGAATGTCGTACCAAGGGGTATGGGGGTATGGGATTCACTCCAGCATACGAATATTTCTTTCGTGTAAGTACACGAATTATTATATGATGTTTGCAGTGAAACGATAATCGAATTCTCCCTTACTGTAGGGTATCGTTGACTGGGGGTGGGGGAATGTGGCACGGATGAGTCTGGGGGGGTATGGTATGCACCCCAGCATATTAATATTTCTTTCGTGAGAGTATACGAATTATTTTAAGATGATTGCAGTGAAAAGATCATCGAATTTTCCTTTACTGGAGGGTATCGTCAACTGGGCGCGAGAGGGGGGGGGGCAACGAGGGGTGTGGGATGGACCCCAGGATACAAATATTTCTTTCGCATGAGTAATTAAGTATAGGACTTATTTCATGACGATTGTAGCGAAAGGATCATAGAATTCGACTTTACTGAAGGAGATCGTTGACTGGGGGGGGGGGGGGGGGGCTGTGGTGGCGAGGAATCTTTGAGGATAATTATTTCAAATGAGCGTATGAATTGTTTCATGATGATTGCAGTAAAAAGATCAAAATGTCATCTAATTCTCCTTTACACTGGCGAGTGTCGTTGACTGAGGGAATGTGGTACCGAAAGGTCTGGTGGGTATGGGATGCCCCCCTCCCCCAAGCATACGAATACTTCTGTCGTATGTGTATATGAATTATTCCATGATGTTCATGATGGATTGCAGTGAAAGCATCATCGAACTCTCCTTTACTGGAGTGTATTGTTGACTGGGGGGACAGTCCCCCCAGACCCACGGTCATATACGTTTATCCAAAACTATGATTACCTCTAAGTCTCTTGCTATACATTTCGGGAAGGGGCCCTTCCTAATGTATCACGTTTGGCTGTGGGGTCTTAGAGTTTGTGCAGGAATGCGGTACGGGGGGGGGGGGGATAGAAACCCCCTAGCATACCAAAAGGACCCCCCTCCCCAGCATGCAAATACTGCTTTCGTATGAGTATACGGCATATTTCATGATCATTGCGGTAAAAGGGTCATCGAATTCTCATTTACTTGAGGGGGAAGGAAGGGGGGAGGCATGTAGTGACGAGGGGCCGGGTAGGGATCTGAATTTTTTCATTATAGCCACATCCTCCGAGATCAGTCGGCCACCCCGACTGACCATCACTATAGACTTGAGGAGTTGCAGTTTCCTTACCACACCTACGAACTCCCACAGAAGAAGCACTTCTTAAAGATAAATAGTTAATGTGAAGATGGATCTATCACTTTTGCATACTTTCAGCTTGTTCGGCATTAAATTAGGCCAGCTATTAAATTTCAATGCAAAATCAATAGTTTGAGACCACAAACCTAGGCAGAATAAAGGTCTGATGGGGTATATCAAGCCTCAACTCTGCCTAGGTTAGACATCTATCACTTTTGCATACTTTCAGCTTGTTCGACATTAAATTAAGCCAGCAATTAAAGTTCAATGCACAATCAATAGTTTTGAGGCCACAAACCTAGGCAGAATAAAGGCCTGATGGGGTATATCAAGCCTCAACTCTGCCTAGGTTTGACATCTATCACGTATATCAAGCCTCAACTTCTTTCGAATGAGTATAGAAAGTAGTTCATAAATGCAGTGAAAGGATCATCGAATTTTCTTTGACTGCAAGGTATCGTTGGGGGGGGGGGGGGGGGGGTCGTCTGAGCATATGAATTATTTCATGATTGCAGAGAAAATATCAAAGGATCATCGAATTCTCCTTTCTTTCGTTTGAATATACGAATTCCTTTATTTCATGATGATCAAATTCGCCTTTACTGGAGGATCTCGTTGACGAGGGGAAGGGGGTATTGGGAGGGGGGGGGGTTATTCCATACCCCTCAGCTCTCCTAGCATACGAATATTTCTTTTGTATGAGCATACGAATTATTTCACGTAGAATGCAGTGAAAAGATCATCAAAATCTCCTTTACTGAAGGGGATCGTTCACTGGGGGGGGGGGGGGGGTAGAGGACTGTGGCGGCGAGGAATCTGGGCGGATATTTATTTCGAATGAGCGTATGAATTGTTTCATGATGATTGCAGTAAAAAGATCAAAAGATCATCTAGTTTTCCTTTACACTGGTGAGTGTCGTTGACTGAGGAAATATGGTACCGAAAGGTCTGGTGGGTATGGGATGCCCCCCCTCCCCCAAGCATACGAATACTTCTGTCGTATATGTATATGAATTAGTCCATGATGTTCATGATGGATTGCAGTGAAAGCATCATCGAACTCTCCTTTACTGGAGTGTATTGTTGCCTGGGGGGGGGGGGGGGGGGGCAGACCCACTGTCATATACGTTTATCCAAAACTGTGATTACCTCTAAGTACTCTTGCTATACATTTCGGGAAGGGGCCCTTCCTAATGTATCATGTTTGGCTGTGGGGTTTTAGAGTTTGTGCAGGAATGCGGTACGGGGGGGGGGGCTTATGGAAACCTCCTAGCATACAAAAAAACCCCCCCCCCCCCCAGCACGCAAATACTGTTTTCGTATGAGTATACGGCATATTTCATGATCATTGCGGTGAAAGGATCATCGAATTCTCATTTACTTGAGGGGAGGGGGGAGGCATGTAGTGACGAGGGGCCGGGTAGGGATCTGAATTTGTTCATTATAGCCACATCCTCCGAGATCAGTCGGCCACCCCGACCGACCATCACTATAGACTTGAGGAGTTGCAGTTCCCTTACCACACCTACGAACTCCCACAGAAGAAGCACTCCTTAACGATAAATAGTTAATGTGAAGATGGATCTGGTTGATCAAGGATAGCCTCCATAGCTAGGATGAGACGCGGTAGTTTCAGGCGCGAGATGCTTCTGGTAATGTTTCAGCTACCAAAAAAACAGGGGTTTCGAGCAGATCCACGTGCTTCTGCGTTCAAAAGAAACCCCGTCGTAGGATTTGCAGAAAAAGAAAGCTGATCTGGACATCCGGTACAGGGACCAATTAAGCATCTTGAAAAAACTTCTCACACGGGAAATGCGCCAAAAACGGCAACATTCTATTCAGTCAGAGCTTTCTGGTAGGTACACACGTCCGTACTGACGCAATAAAGCGGTACCTCGACTTGAGAAGTCGCGGTGAAGAAACAGCAACAAAACATTACTCTGTTTCCCAACGGCAGGGACACACCAAGTGCAAAAAGGTCACGTACAATCTAACTTTTATAATGCGCTGCTAAATAGATGTTAATCTTGCTGTGAAAAAAGCTCTAAGATTTGCGAAACTTACGAATTATCAAGCACTTTTAGGTTACGGGTCAATTCCTCTTCATGATTAGAGTCCTAATCGTTAGTTAGAACGTTAGTTTCTCTGAGTTGTTCTAATGGTATCCGTACTAGTGATTGTATTCTGCCGAATTGGACCCTTCTGGTGTCAACCATTTCCAAGAACTACAGCGTGTTTGCGTAATTTGACCCAGTGACCAATTTGTTTTCATTTGGGCCAGAGGACCATTTGGACATTATCCCACTTCGGTCTACTCTACGAGATAGCACGGTCTAAATGCGTCGTAAACTTTCTGTTATCTATTACTGACGTCATTACGCCGATTACGGTGCCTTAAAATGGGCATCGCGTACCTATTCCGATCCATCCGCAATGTTCAGGCCGGCAAAGTATTGTGAAAATAGGTCGCTGACCGACGAGGATTTTAGGTTCGCGATCGACAACTACTGGAAGTACATGAAGCTGAGGCAGTACTGCGATGTCCTGGAGATCGGTTGCGGACCGGGGAAATCCGCCAGCGAGTGCGTGCTGCCGCTGTTGCCGAAGACGTGCCAAATCTACGTCGGCGTCGACAAGTCGCCCCAGATGGTCGAATACGCCAACGCAAATTACAGCGCCGATCCCAGGCTCCGATTCGACTTGATGGACATCACCACGGACCAGCCTCCGCGACACTTCCTGAACGCCTTCGACCACATCGTGTCGTTCAACTGCTTTCACTTTGTCACCGACCATCGGTAACTCAGCCGCGAGTAAGTCAACGCAGTTAACCGCGTTTGCTGTAGAAAGGCACTGGAAAACGTGTACCTCATGACCAAGCCAGGCGGAAACATCTTCATTTCGTTCCCGGCCAAAAACGCAATCTTCGATGTTTACGTGGCGATGGCCCGGGAAGAGAAGTGGGCACCGTACCTGGGTAGATGCAGGCAAATGCTGACACCGACCCAGTTTTGTGAAGACCCACAAGCCGATTTTAGCGATACGTTAAAAGAGGTCGGATTTTCCAGTGACCTTTGCTTAGTGACTGAGAGAACGTACACGGTCTCTAAGGCAATGCTGTTGGGTAAATATGAAACCCTTCCATTTCCATTTTTAACGCACCGTTCGTCTAGGTTTCATAGAAGCGGTTTGCACCTTTACTATCCCGGAAAACCTCCTGAAGGAATTCTGCCAAGACCATTATAGGCGAATGAAAAAGCAATACAGCGTGTGGCAGAACGACCAAGGAGAAGTGTACCTAAGCTTTCCGTTTATCTTCCTTGTGGCACACGCGGCGAAAGTATGACAATGGAATCATTTTGCGATGATGAGTCATGTAGCAGCCTTTAGAGGTAATTATGGATGCCCTAAATGAACGGCAATGGATACGCGTCCTTGATTATTTATTCTAATAAAATGAGATTTTCTAGTATTATTTAATTAGCAATTGCATCGATAAACCTGGTAAACACTTTCCTACTAAATCGCATATTACACTGTACTTCTAAAAGATAAGAGGATAGAGGAGCAGTTTTTTTGTGATAAGTATAAGTGTCGTAATTGTTAATGATAATTACAAAACCTTATCGGCAACTGCATAGTAGAGCGATTTCCTTTGCAAGTAGAGTCAGAGCCCGTTCCTATGAATAACGTATAGGGCTATAAGTTGCTGCCCCCCTCCCTCCTTCCGCCGTTTCCGAAGGGCTGGCATAGCAGAGGAGCTCTTGAGCAAGCCGTTCCCCCTTTCGAATAGCCTACTCCGTTACCAGACCCCTTTTGAGATTCATTGAACTTCTACAATATTTATATTAAATAGAACCAATAAAAAAAACAATGCTATATAAAACAATTGAAAATATTGAAGTTGCAGGTGTGTTTTTTTGTGTAAATTTTCCCTATCGCTAGAAATTATTTGTGAGGTTTTACTTTCGTATAAAATGAATGTGTTCAAGGGCAATGGGTGTAGATAAGACAAGCGTTTTAAAGTTCGACAAAATTAGTGTGGGGTTTTAACTTCTTTCCTCGCCGCCGTTTCAATACTAGGCTGCATTTGAGAAAAAAACCTTCAGTTCTGGGCCTCGGTATACGGAGGTTTTTTGTAATAATGTCTCCCCCCCCCCCCCCAATTGAACCCATAGCGCTTATCCCATAGCTTTTAAAAAGCATGGAACATAAATTGACGCAAAAGAAATAGTTTTGGGACCACAAACCTAGGCAGAATAAAGGTCTGATGAGGTAAGTCAAGCCTCACCTCTGCCTAGGTTCGACATCCATCACTTTTACGTACTTTCAGCTTGTTCGACATTAAATTAGGCCAGTTATTAAATTTCAATGCAAAAGCAATAGTTTTGAGATCACACACCTAGGTAGAATAAATGTCTGATGGGTTAAATCAAACCTCTACTCTGCCTAGGTTTGACAACTATCATTTTTGAATACTTCCGGCTTGCTCAACTTCAAAATAGGGCAGTTATTAAACTTATACGCAAAAGCAATAGTTTGACACCACAAAACCTAGGCTGAATAAATGTCTGATGGGTTAAGTCAAAGTTCTACTCTGCCTAGGTTTGACAACTATCATTTTTGAATACAACTATCATTTTTGAATACTTCCGGCTTGCTCAACTTCAAAATAGGGCAGTTATTAAACTTATACGCAAAAGCAATAGTTTGACACCACAAAACCTAGGCTGAATAAATGTCTGATGGATTAAGTCAAAGTTCTACTCTGCCTAAGTTTGACAACTATCATTTTTGCATACTTCCAGCTTGCTCAACTTCAAAATAGGGTAGTTATTAAACTTCAACGCAAAAGCAATAGTTTGACACCACAAAACCTAGGCTGAATAAATGTCTGATGGGTTAAGTCAACGTTCTACTCTGCCTAGGTTTGACAACTATCATTTTTGCATACTTCCGGCTTGCTCAACTTCAAAATAGGGCAGTTATCAAATTTCAATGCAAAAGCAATAGTTTGAGACCACAAAACCTAGGCTGAATAAATGTCTGATGGGTTAAGTTAAAGTTCTACTCTGCCTAGGTTTGACAACTATCATTTTTGCATACTTCCAGCTTGCTCAACTTCAAAATAGGGCAGTTATTAAACTTCAACGCAAAAGCAATAGTTTGACACCACACACCTAGGCAGAATAAAGGTCTGATGGGGTAAGTAAATCCTCCACTGTGCCTAGGTTTGACATCTATCACTTTTGCATACTTTCAGCTTGTTCGACATTAAATTAGGCCAGTTATTAAATTTCAATGCAAAAGCAATAGTTTTGGGACCACAAACGTAGGCATAATAAATGTCTGATGAGTTAAGTCAAAGTTCTACTCTGCCTAGGTGTGACAACTATCATTTTTGCATACTTCCGGCTTGCTCAACTTCAAAATATGGCAGTTATTAAACTTCAACGCAAAAACAATAGTTTGAGAGCACAAAACCTAGGCTGAATGAATGTCTGATGGGTTAAGTCAAAGTTCTACTCTGCCTAGGTTTGACAACTATCATTTTTGCATACTTTTGGCTTGTTCAACTTCAAACTAAGGCAGTTATTAAACTTCAATGCAAAAGCAATTGTTTTGAGACCACACACCTAGGCAGAATAAAGGTCTGATGGGGTAAGTAAAACCACCACTGTGCCTAGGTTTGACATCTATCACTTTTGCATACTTTCAGCTTGTTCGGCATTAAACTAAGCCAGCTAGAAAATTTCAATGCAAGATCAATAGTTTTGAGACCACACGCCTAGGCAGAATAAAGATCTGATAGGATAAGTAAAACCTCCACTGTGCCTAGGTTTGACATCTATCACTTATGCATATTTTCAAGCTTGTTCGACATTAAATTAGGTCAGCTATTGAATTTCAATGCAAAAACAATAATTTTGAGACAGAGACCTAGGCAGAATAAAGGTCTGATTGGGTAAGTAAAACCTCCACTGTGCCTAGGATTGACAACTATCATTTTTGCATACTTTCGGCTTGTTCAACTTCAAAATAGAGCAGTTATTATACTTCAATGCAAAAAGCAATAGTTTAGAGACCACAAACCTAGGCAGAATAAAGGTTTGTGCCGACACTGCTTTTGAAACTATCACTTTTTCTTATTCTTCAACAATTTTTAGAGTCCAGTAAAGTGTTTACGTGGTACCGGTACAGTTGAAAATCGACGTACATTGTTTGTTTCTTTAATTAGGCGCACAGAATATCATCATGCGATCTCGCAATTCACAAATTGATGTTTGAAAAATAGATGGCATTGCTTCCTTTATTATCGTGTGTGCTGTGTAATGAACATTAGATTTGTTTCGGTTAGATTTAATTAGGTCGTTTTGGGTTTCACTTGAGACTTTAGGTGTTCGTAATTGCTTTTAAATAGTATCACGCGTGTTTACGAACCCAGTAAATTTCGAATCTTGCGGTAATTTAGGCAAGCCGAATGTGGAATTTAAGCGTTCTTTCAGAAAATAGTGTAAATTTAGTGGCTTTTTGAAGCCATTTTCGGTTATGAATAATGGGCCGACACTCGGCCGCCATGTCTACTGGACGAATCCCTACTATTTTTTAATTTTACAAAACCGTTTAGAAAATGGCGCTAATAGGGTGATGTAGCCAATCGACTTTGTTTACTTAACCCAATCACGTGCGTATGAAGGCCGCCTATCAAAACCCACCGGATTATAAGAACACGACGCATCCAATAACCAAGGGCTCACAAAATATAGAACGCCAAATGCATTACAAATCTATTGACTTGAAAATAATAAGAACACTTAGAATAAAGAGCTCTCTAATGAAAACATCCTATATATAAACTACCAAGTTCCGCTTTGAGACTCCTTTGGTGTTTTATGACTCTACCAATTTATACTGTTCAGGTAGAAAGCTAGTTTAAATGCAGCCGATATACATAAAAAAGTTCATTGTCCGATCAATCCCATATACAAAAAAGGTAGCAGCCTGAGGAAAATTTAGAGGAACTTCCACTGTATTTCTCCACTTCTGCAGTGTGCATCCTTTCAAGGAAGAATACCTTTTGTCACCGTAGGGAAGAAACATCATACTAGTAGCGAGGTTGAGATGCGAAAACGAAGAGGGAGGACAGGAGAAGTGGAGAGAAGAGGATAAAATGCAGATTATCAGGTGAGAAAGAGGAAAATATTGACGATCTGATATGGGAATGTAAAATGGTAGAAAAAACAAGGGAAAGCAGGAAAGAAATGGATAGTTTGAGAATAGAAGAATTCCACACTGTTTTAGTGGGGAATACCAGTGCCATTTAAAAAAAATTAGTGTACGGTGGTGGACCAAATAATGCCATAAGTATATGACTCGAAACCTAAATTGAAAGATGACGAGAAGTTTATTGAGTACTCGTTTGTATTATTTAAATTTGATGGTAATTTAACGATATCCGAGTAATAATAATAAAAGCGCGATCAGCCTTTATTGAAGAATTATTGTTTAATTGACAGAATTTGCATTCGATTTAAAAGAGGTTTTGCGCTTTAATCACGCAAAATCGAAATGTATCCGTGGATGACAAAGCATCTTCTTCTGGTGACAGTGATAGTTGGTGTAAGGGCACTAGAACTGCGTAAGTTGTAAGATTTTTCGCGCCAACCTTTTGAAAATGTCTAATGCTCAGCAACCGACTTCCAAAAATGCTCACGCGTCGACCCTCAATTGAACGACTGCTTAATATCGGCGATTCAGCTAGCGCTGCCTATTCTCGTAAGGGGTAAGTCAATCTGGATGCCAGAATCCAATACCATTCCAAACTTGTATTTTGAAACAATTACAGGTTTACCAGAATTTGGTATCGAAACTATTGAACCTGTCAAAGTGCCGAATATGAAAATTGATTCGGACGAAGGATCCGTTCACGTTGTGCAGAACTACAGAAATGTGCGGTTCCAGCACCTAAGTAAAATGAAGATCGAAGATGTAAGGTAAGGAGACAAAAGTAAATTCCGTGTAGGCTTGTACCACCTTAGGCCGGTCATTAAAAATTGCTCCCAGCAAAATTCCTTATTTTAAACAACCGACAATTTTCCGACTTGCAGAGTACCCCCCCCCCTCCTCACCCAACAAAATGATTCACTTCCCTATAACCATCATAAGATCTTCGTATAACTTCTGGTATTCCATACTCCCCAGACCTCACCGTGTTACGTTTCTCTTCAACCATTCGGCTCTAAGGATTTTAATTATATATAAAGGACTTCTGAGTGTTTAGAGAAGAACGTAGAACGGCGGATGGACTACATCCCCCCCCCTCCCCTATAACAAGAAATCAATGTTGATTGACTTCGCTGCAGCTACCATACAAGCATGGTATACTGAAGGGTATGCGCCCCCCACCCCCCGGTACTACGCTGTCCTTGAACCATCCAACCACTTTCGGAATATTCTTGTATAAAAGACTTCCAATTGGCTGGGGAAGAATGTGGAACCGGGGAGGTCTGGGGGGGTATGGAAAATCATTGTATGGTAATATGTAAAACCGGGGGGTCAGGAAAAGAATTCCGTCCCATGTAACCATCATAAGGTCTTCGTATACAGGGTGATTCCTATAGTACCTGCCACCGTTTGGGAGCGTATAGGGGGTGCCTAGGGGAGTATTTTGATATAGGATACTTGGGGTCGGAAATCTAAAATAAGGGCGCCAGAACCAAATTTATCTTCTGGAATTTCACGCCTGTATGTAGGCAACCCAACCGACCGACGTTTCGCGCGGAGCGATCCAGAGCGAGTTAGCGCGAGGAAGCGACATGGGAGGGAAGGAGGGAAAACGACAGTCAAAAGCAATAACGTTTACAAGTGTTCAACGTGGCCACCGTTGTTCTCAATTCACTTCCTACATCTAGCCAACTATTATTATACTATTGCCATAGTGTTTATTCACTTGATACGCGTCGTTGCAGACGGGATTTCGTGGGTTTAAACAAAATTCTGATCAAGTGTCAGCCACACATCGCCGCTTGAGATCGCTCCGTGTGCACCGCCGGCCGGTTGGGTTGCCTACCTACAGGCGCGAAATTCCAGAAGGTAAATTTGGCTCTGGCACCCTTATTTTAGATTTCCGGCCCCAAGTGTCCTATATCAAAATACTCCCCTACGCACCACCTACACGCTCCCAAACGGTGGCAGGTACTATAGGAATCACCCTGTATATTGGGGGTATTGCATACCTCCCAGACCGCCCCACCGATACCTCGTTTCCCATCAACCACTTCACCCTAAGGACTTTCGTGATACTTTTCTAGAAACGGGTGGGAGGAGTGTATGGAATACTCCTCAGTATACGATGATTGTATGGCAGTTGTAGGGCAGGGGTATTTAATTATTTTCTAAGAGGTATGGAGACCCCCTGCTACGTTTTCCTTCACCCATTCAGCCCTAAGGGCTTCTTAATTATATATATATATATATATATATATATATATATATATATTGTTGTGTTATTTTGTTTTAGTTGTAACTTGAAAGAAATTATAGAGCGTCTGGATGTGACAATTTTGTTTAGTTCAATTAATTAACCGGGGGGTTATTAATAATTTGAGACACAGGATTGCGTAAATTTCATGTTATAGTTTTGGTTCAATTTCTTAGAAGTGTTCTGTTTTTATTTTATTCCTAGAATTTTTTCGATGTAAATTTCTTTTTAAATTTTATTTGCCGTTAACGAGGTATAGCGCGAAGTAGAGATAAGGTTGTCTTCGCAGAATTGCCGGGCGTACGTGCCGTTTAGCAAGAAGTTGAAAAATCGACGCTTCGCGTGATTGGCGGACGGGATGTTGAGGAAAGGAGAAGGGCTTTTGGTTTAAATAGAAAATTTTTGAAGAGAGCGGGGCTTTTTGGTCGTTACAAAGCCAACCGGCGCTTCTTCGGTTACGTTATTTTTGAATTTTGTGGAAGTTTTCCTGCGTAGTTGGATCCCGGTTTAATTAGAATTTTGTGTCTGCCGTTTTAAGAAGAATTATTGAGAAGTTTAAGAAGTTTGTCGTCGTCCTGTTTTTTTTTTTATTTTGCGGAAACACGGAAGTTTTGAATTTGTGGGTACCCGAAGAGAGAAGACGTCGGTGTTTGAGTGTTTGGTTTGCGTGATTGTGTACGGATACCTCTTTTTATCGGAGTACGTTACTCGGACTAATTTTAAAAGTAAGTAGTAATTAGTGGTTTGTTTTGTCTTGTTTTTTTTTTGTAATGTTTGAGTAATTTGTTTTTTTTCTTTTTTTGTGTGTGTCATTTGTCTGTTTAAAATTGTAACAATTTGTAAAACAGAAATTTACGTAATTTTTTGTTTGAAATTAAACCAGTCATTGCAATCCAGGTTTTGTTTATTAGAGTCAAAGAGAGGTAATTGTCGGCGTCTCTTACTTTGTTTCAAGTTTATTAAATCTGGGGGTAAAGTTTCATATTGGAATTTAAGGGAGGTATTAGCCACCGACCTGGCGAGGTTGCTACCCCTTGTCCGGACGAAGAAAAGGGGTGGTCGGACTCATTTTACGGGCCCTGAGATTTGTGTTTTTAAGAGTTTGTGTGGGATTGAGCTAGTAAGGGGAAGTTGTGTGGGTATCTTTCAGGCTTAGGAAGTTTACACAACAATATAATATTATATATAAATTTCGGTTTTTTATCAAGATATTTTCAAATTTCTCTTCAGATTCTTATTCAAACACGAAATTTGCAACTTTTGCCCCCAAAATTTAACCAACTTTCTATCTTCTTAAGATAAGTTGAGACCCCATTAGTGGCACTCGAAAAATGGACACCGTGTATTATATATTAAGTTCAAAGGGCTGTAACTTTTGATCTAGTAGTCCAATCTTGGAACTGTTTGAAATTATGGATTCTACGGGCCAAACTCTATAAGAAAATGTCTTTTCCCGGTCGATCTCAGACAATTTTTTTTTCCGGCCTCAAAAAAAGGCAGTGTATTTACCTTCCTTTTTTTACCAAAAATCGACTGCTCCAAAATTTCTCGGGAAAACACTTTTTCTCACTAATTTTGGTACGTAGAATCCAAAACGATTCGTACTTTTTCGATCAGACCTCTCAATCTTTTCGTGATATCCTGCTATAAAGGACTTCCAAGTGTTTGGGGAAGAATGTAGAACCGGGGGGTTTGGCCCCCCCCCCCCCCCCCTCAAGTATATACAAAGACTTTAAAATAGTTATAGTGAAAAGAATCGTTTTCATTACGTAATTTAATTATTCGGATTCCTGGTGCGTGGTGTTTTTCCGTCAAAAAAGTGGAGGGGGGGGGTCCTTAATAACGTGCGGGTGATGAGGTTGAAACGAAAACAACGGTAGGGACAAAGACCGCGAAAACAAGGACAGCGACAGCCCCTAAATGAAGAATAATACAAACACGAGAAGGAAGAGGAGGACGAAGACAAGGAGAGAAATAAAGACAAAAACGAAAGTAAAGATAACCTCCAAGATAAGAACGAAGACAAGGCTCAAGGTGGGGCCGACGGCGAACACGAAATCGAAAAAAGACAGGAATGACGATGAAAACCACGGTAAAGACGAAGATGAGGGCGAGGAAGGCAGCGAAAATGATGACGACAAACCTACCTCCTTTCAATCTCCTCGCACATTATATTCTCCTGATACAAGACTTCTCACCTAACCTAACTAACACTCTAACCTAACCTCACTAACACTTTGTCCTAACCTTCAACCTCCTCGCACATTATATTCTCCTGATACAAGATTTCTCACCTAACCTAACCTCACTAACACTTTGTTCTAACCTTCAACCTCCTCGCCCATTATATTCTCCTGATACAAGATTTCTCACCTAACCTAACTAGCACTCTAACCTAACCTCACTAACACTTTGTCCTAACCTTCAACCCCCTCGCACATTATATTCTCCTGATACAAGATTTCTCACCTAACCTAACTAGCACTCTAACCTAACCTCACTAACACTTTGTCGTAACCTTCAACCTCCTCGCACATTATATTCTCCTGATACAAGATTTCTCACCTAACCTAACTAGCACTCTAACCTAACCTCACTAACACTTTGTCCTAACCTTCAACCTCCTCGCACATTATATTCTCCTGATACAAGATTTCTCACCTAACCTAACTAGCACTCTAACCTAACCTCACTAACACTTTGTCCTAACCTTCAACCTCCTCGCACATTATATTCTCCTGATACAAAATTTCTCACCTAACCTAACTAACACTCTAACCTAACCTCACTAACACTTTGTCCTAACCTTCAACCTCCTCGCACATTATATTCTCCTGATACAAGATTTTTCACCTAACCTAACTAGCACTCTAACCTAACCTCACTAACACTTTGTCCTAACCTTCAACCTCCTCGCACATTATATTCTCCTGATACAAGATTTCTCACCTAACCTAACTAGCACTCTAACCTAACCTCACTAACACTTTGTCCTAACCTTCAACCTCCTCGCACATTATATTCTCCTGATACAAGATTTCTCACCTAACCTAACTAACACTCTAACCTAACCTCACTAACACTTTGTCCTAACCTTCAACCTCCTCGCACATTATATTCTCCTGATACAAGATTTTTCACCTAACCTAACTAGCACTCTAAGCTAACCTCACTAACACTTTGTCCTAACCTTCAACCTCCTCGCACATTATATTCTCCTGATACAAGATTTCTCTTCTCTAATACAGACCCCCGATGTTAATTTTTCCTTCTACCATTCAGCCCTAAAGACTTTCGTGATATCCTTCCATAAAGGACTTCCGAGTGTTTGAGGAAGGATGTAAGATCGCAGTTTGGCCGGGGGGGTTATGGAATACCCCTTCGGAAAACGATTCTCTTTATCACTATCATATAGTCTTCGTGTATACATTACTGGGGTGTATTCCATAACCCCCAGACACCTCGGTGTTCCGTTTTCCTTCAATCAGTCGGCCCTAAGGTTAGAGTAATCAACAGCGGCGAAAGCAGCAACATGGGAGCAATTGGCTGACTGCAATGGTAGCGACAATGACAACGAACGCAGCTGTAAAAGCTACAGCAATTAAAAAAAAAGGCATTTTCAGCAATCCTATAGTGACAGCAACTGCGCGAAAGACACCAGCAACAAAGGTAATGGTGGAAAAAACAGCAACGATTATGAATGCAGATAAAAACTCCGGCCACTTCAATGGTTTGCTGAGTGATCTCCGGAGTAGCGCCTAGACAATATTATAAGAAAATTTTTAAATTGACTCTTGATCTTTTAGGGCAAAAATAACCGACGACTTGTTCCTGGTTGACGTAAAAGTGGCGTTAAAGGAAACTACATTCCAGGCTGATTACAGCTTGAACGGAAAAGTACTCATAATACCGATCTACGGCGCCGGAAACTGTACCTTCACGTTAAGTAAGCCACCCCATCTTAAAATCGCAACTTTCATACCTCTTTCCAGAGAATACCTCCATCGATTTGCACTTGGAGGGCGAATTCAGCCACAGGGATGGTACGAAGTACGTCACGGTGGAAAGGGCTAAGGTTAACATCGATCCGGCAAAGGTGGAGATTAACTTCAATAACCTTTTTAACGGCGACCAAAGGCTTGGAGCGAGCGTAAATGGGGTGCTCAACGAAAATTGGCAGGAACTGTTTAAAGACGTTAAGCCACACTACGAGGAATCCCTGGAGACGGTTTTTAAAAGCTTCGCCAATCTTATACTGGAAAAGGTTCCTTATGACGAGTTGTTTTGAAAATTTCGCATTTGCATCATTACTAAGGACATAGACTAATAAATAAATGCAACTGGACTAGACTCTTCGTATACGTCGCTTCCTTTCTCTTGCAAGGCGCTTTGTACTTAAATGGGAATAAGTTCATAAACTGAAACCCTAATGTGACGACAGTAAATAATTCGATTAACTCAAAATTAAAGAACCTTCCCCACTTAACTTCTGTTAAATTACACATAAAGAAAATCGGAGACTTAAGTTGATACTTAAAATTATTGTTTGAAACTGGCGTCTTTCTCCAAAGCTTCTTCGTAATGGAAAATTCCCCTAGGGTAAGGCTAGCGATCGTTGGTATGCGTAGCTTTTAAAAATAATATAAATTCAACTTGAAAAATCATCGCAAGAGTGCAAGGATTCCATTTCCCCCACGAATGCCCCTCCTGCTTACAATTAAAACAATGAAACCATATTGCATGGTTTATTTGTGTACATTGTGACTATAGCTAGCGCAGATAATGTGGTATTCTTCAAGATGCGTTTCCCCCAGTTGATTGATGGGAAATAGTCGCCTATTTCACATCCCCTCCTCGAAACTTACAAGGGTAGCAGCTTATCATAGGGAACTTGTTTAAATAGAGCTTGAACAACTTGCCCTATCGCCTGAGCAATGGCCTCTTCGTAACCGTGCTTGACGTCGTGAAACAAGTCGCTCCAATTCTCGTTCAATATGTGATTTATTTCTTCGCCCATCCTTGGATCACCACCAAAGAGGTTGTCGTACCGCAGTTTCACAAGTTTCGGTTGTAGAGTAATTTTGAGCGCCCTTATCTGAAGGTACCCCCCTTCCACGACTCCGTACATTTCAAGCGTGACGGTAGCGTTTACTAGAAAAGTACATCGTCAATCTCCCCAACCCGTTTGGAAGTTTTCCAACTTACTTAACGTAATGGTACATCTTCCGTTTCCAACAACCGGCAGGATTAGCACGTGTCCGTCTACATCATAGTCCGCCTCAAGTCGAAGTTCGCTCCCATAACACGTCAGCGTCAGGTTAAGGGAGTCATCCGTTGCAGTAACACTAAAAGTTCAAGAACTCCAGGGAGCACAACGAATTGAACCACTTACTCGGCCCTTTGCACCGTGAGCAGATCAATACCGTTAATTTCCACGTTTCTGTAATGCTGAACCACCTGGACGATCCCGTAACCCTCCTCCACCGACATCCTCTCAATTTTGAGTGGCAACGCTTTGCCCAGCTTCAGCTCCGGTATTCCTGCCAATTGATCTCAAACGTTGCTAAACGTAAATTGCTAAACGTTACCTTTTAGAAACATCAGAGCGACCTCCACAGTGGCAGCCCTAACGCATTCTCCAAGTTTGGGATCCTGCCGTTTGCAAATCGGAAAATTGGGTGCTGGAAATCGACTCTCATTATAGATACCTCTGTGTAAGGGACCAGTGGTGCATATTACGCAAGTCCACTGCGGCTACGTAGGCGACCAATAAACCCATCAAGAAAGTTTTCATCATCTTCGAAGGGTTGCGTTAGGCTGACTGGTTCTATTCTGGAAAATTATCTCAAGGTGCTCAAATTCTTTGTTTTAAACAAATAATAAAAATTGCTCACGCTCCCAGAAACGTAAGTGATAATTTGCTTAATCAACAATTAACATTTGAAAGATCACTTTTTTCAGAAGTTCTCTTAGCCTTGTACTTGTATGAACCTTGAACGTAATACGCCTTCCGTGAATAAACCGCGAGTAAACATATTACGAGTAAGTATAGGTCCCCTAGGTTCAAAGCTCTCTGTGATACGAAGAAGATGATCTCATAATTCTTTCCCAACACCAATCATGAGAGTCTTTCGTTCTTTGGGGGGTATACCATTTCCAGAAAAGTATGATAAAGCTGACGCTGCTGCCTACTGAGGGTATTCCATACCCCCAGTAACAACATCTAAAAATGGTTTAGTCTTCAGAACTCGCTTGGGGGCTTTTGGGGAAGATTTATCACATCCTCTCCCCCGCATTGCCGAAAAATTAACACCGGGGGGTTTGTGGGGTATGGAAAACCCTCCAGCAAACGAGAAAGTCCTTTACGGTGGTATTCTGGAAATGGCAAAGGAGCTGTAGTCTACTGGGGGGTATTCCATACCCCCAGACCCCCCAGAAACGCATTCTATAAAGCGTTTTAGTCTTCAGAACTCGCTGGAGGGTTGTTGGGAAAAGTTTATTACATCCTCCCCTCCGTGTTGCCGAAAAATTAACGCCGGGGGGTCTGGAGGGTATGGAAAACCCCCCAGCAAACGAGAAAGTTCTTTACGGTGGTATTCTGGAAATGCCAAATGAGCTGTAGTCTACTGGGGGGTATTCCATACCCCCCAGACCCCCCGGTGTTAATTTTTCGGCAACACGGAGGGGAGGATGTGATAAACCTTCCCCAACAACCCTCCAGCGAGTTCTGAAGACTAAAACGCTTTATAGAATGCGTTACCGGGGGGTCTGGGGGGTATGGAATACCCCCCAGTAGACTACAGCTCCTTTGGCATTTCCAGAATACCACCGTAAAGGACTTTCTCGTTTGCTGGGGGGGTTTTCCATACCCCCCAGACCCCCCGATGTTCATTTCTTGGCAACACGGAGGGGAGGATGTGATAAACCTTCCCCAACAACCCTCCAGCGAGTTCTGAAGACTAAAACGCTTTATAGAATGCGTTTCTGGGGGGTCTGGGGGTATGGAATACCCCCCAGTAGACTACAGCTCCTTTGCCATTTCCAGAATACCACCGTAAAGGACTTTCTCGTTTGCTGGGGGGGTTTTCCATACTCCCCAGACCCCCCGATGTTCATTTCTTGGCAACACGGAGGGGAGGATGTGATAAACTTTCCTCAACAACCCTCCAGCGAGTTCTGAAGACTAAAACGCTTTATAGAATGCGTTACCGGGGGGTCTGGGGGGTATGGAATACCCCCCGGTAGACTACAGCTCCTTTGCCATTTCCAGAATACCACCATAAAGGACTTTCTCGTTTGCTGGGGGGTTTTCCATACCCTCCAGACCCCCCGGCGTTAATTTTTCGGCAACACGGAGGGGAGGATGTGATAAACTTTCCCCAACAACCCTCCAGCGAGTTCTGAAGACTAAAACGCTTTATAGAATGCGTTTCTGGGGGGTCTGGGGGTATGGAATACCCCCCAGTAGACTACAGCTCCTTTGGCATTTCCAGAATACCACCGTAAAGTACTTTCTCGTTTGCTGGGGGGGTTTTCCATACCCCCCAGACCCCCCGATGTTCATTTCTTGGAAACACGGAGGGGAGGATGTGATAAACTTTCCCCAACAACCCTCCAGCGAGGTATGGAATACCCCCAGTAGACTACAGCTCCTTTGGCATTTCCAGAATACCACCGTAAAGTACTTTCTCGTTTGCTGGGGGGGTTTTCCATACCCCCCAGACCCCCCGATGTTCATTTCTTGGAAACACGGAGGGGAGGATGTGATAAACTTTCCCCAACAACCCTCTGGAAATGGCAAAGGAGCTGTAGTCTACTGGGGGGTATTCCATACCCCCAGACCCCCCAGAAACGCATTCTATAAAGCGTTTTAGTCTTCAGAACTCGCTGGAGGGTTGTTGGGGAAGGTTTATCACATCCTCCCCTCCGTGTTGCCGAAAAATTAACACCGGGGGGTCTGGGAGGTATGGAAAACCCCCCCAGCAAACGAGAAAGTCCTTTACGGTGGTATTCTGGAAATGGCAAAGGAGCTGTAGTCTACTGGGGGGTATTCCATACCTCGCTGGAGGGTTGTTGGGGAAAGTTTATCACATCCTCCCCTCCGTGTTGCCGAAAAATTAACACCGGGGGGTCTGGAAACCCCCCAGAAAGCGAGAAAGTCCTATATGGTGGAATTCTGGAAATGGCAAAGGACCTGTAGTCTGCTGGGAGGTATTCCATACCCCCCGGTAACGCATTCTACAAAGCGTTTAGTCTTCAGAACTCGTTTGAGGGTTCCTGGGGGCGGTTTATCACATTCTCTCCCCCGTATTGTCGAAAAATTAACAGCGGCAGCAAACAGTAAAGGTGCGTGGGGTCTGGGGAGTATGGAATACCTCCCACTAGTTCCATTGCCACATCCAGAATACCATCAGAATACTGAGGCTCTAGCATAAAATGGTCATCGACTCTTTCGTTTGCTGGAGGATATTCCATACCCCCCAGGCCCCCAGTTTCTAGGCTTTCCACGTCGGAGAAGATGATCTCATCATTCTTGCCGATCAATTGTCATGAGAGTCCTGAAGACTAAACGGTTTGTGGAAAAAGGTGTTACCGTGGGGTCCAGTTACCCAAGGTTGAACGGTTCAAAGGGTAGTTTTAGACGTCGTATAAATAAGGTAAATTCAGTACGTGCCGTTTTATTTTATGGATTTTGATCAGTTGGAATTTTGACGTTGAGCCTGTAATTAGAAATGTCCTTTTTAATAATAATAATTTCTTTATTGCCCAACAGTTATACCCCAAAATCAAGACAAAAATGCAACATACAGAGATGATTAAAGACTCGATGTTTTTTTGTACCTGTCTGGTGTGTCGTAAAAGAAATTTTCCATGGCGACCTCATAAGAAGGTAAAAAGTTTTCCAGTCTGGAAATGAATATTAAGTGCCGGAAATCTTCTAACTGAGTGAAGTTTCCTTTTCTCACTCTGCCTGCCTCCCCACCCGTTTTCTGTGTCAAGAACTGTCACATGAACCAGAAGCTCATCTTAATCGGGTGGCGGTAGCCTGACACCCCTTCAAGGTCGATGATGATGGATGGAGACCCCTCGGAACAAAGTCTCTCTGCTCCGATAGAGGCTTTTCCCTGGTCTGAGGTAAGAATTTTCCATCTGTGGCAAAGATGGGAATTCCCTTTAAATCAGTTTTGAGCATTCTGCCGGCTAATAAAATAAATAAAATTAGTTATTAGTTATCTTAATTAGAGCTATTTGATTACAACTGCGAATTCGGCATGAGATCATTTCAGTGTCGTGGAAACTGCAACGTAGCACAATTGTGTTGGCCGTTTTGGGCATGATTTTAGTTTTTATTTGATTCTTAGGTTAAATTAACGATTAAAGATGGCCGTCTGCGTTAATCAGACGCGATGTTGTAGGCGTTCTTTAATTAATATAATATATACAATGAATTTTTTTGATTTTTTCCCGTTCGAACTACGGAAATGTTAATCGCACCAAAGGATAACCACGTAGTTTTCGTCGCTTTGTCCTTGTCCTCTTCGTCTCAGTCTCCGTCTTTATTCTCATCTACGTCTTCGTCCTCGTCTTCAATTCCGAAAACTTTTTTCTGCCCTTTGAATAGGAATTAAAAGCAAATCTCTCAATTCAAACATTATCATACGCGCATTAACATAATTTACCTCTGCTGAAGGTGACCCGTGAGCATAAGCTAATTGTTTTTTAATTGCGCATGCAAAAAGTTATATATAGACCGACACGTTCGCCGCCATTTGCACACGAGAAATGTTCGCCGTATTTCTGCTGTTTGCTTCGCTGGGATTCGTAATAGCGGTGAGAATATCTTTAAGGGGTGGCGCTCCGTTTTGTTGAGACCGCACGACTTTCAGCAATTCCATCAGGATAGCTACGTCATCGAGCACGATCGCATCGAGATACTGAAATTCAACAGGTCGTTCGTCCGTCGTCCGGACTTCCAGGTGGTTTACTTCAACGACACTGTCAAGATGAAGGCGCTAAACGCTTCCGGTTACTTCGTTGCGCCCATAGAAAACACAGCAAAGGTAATTTATGTTGGTCGTCATTTGTTAAAATAATAGCGTTCTAGATCGAGGTGACCTTGTACAAATTCGTCGGTGGCGCGTATCGAGTTTTTCCATTCAACGTGACGCTTGACGGTTGCAATGAAAACAAGAGGAATTTATTCGGTTTGCGGTCGATACTCCAACACACCAACTTTAAAGGGTGCCCTGTTCCCATTGTGAGTCACCGACATTTGCAAAGTCGATCTCATGCCACTTTCAGGGTTACCTGTATCTGAAATACTACCTTCTCGAGCAGGAGAAGTTTCCGCCACACCTGCCCTATGGGAAATACAAGCTGTTCATGGACATTCATGCTGGCCATGGCTCCTATTTTATTGGCAACGGGCATTGGTATGGGTCTATTGTACCAAAAAAGAAAAATTAGTTGTGAGTGCCTTGACCAGGGTCGCACAGGTTGCCTTGGCACAATGTGGAAAAAATAAACGTTGACATAATCAAATTCATTTCTTATGCGTTTAGTTCCTCAAGGGACTCGGCTGGACCTATATTTGGAAAAGGGCGGGTTTGCTGTCTCCGCTTAACGGTATTTTTTACCTTGTCTCTCTTAGCTTGTCTAAAGTTCATTACATGATCGGTAAAGGATACGCGTCTTTAATATATTTACTGATTAGTTTGGCGGTAGTCTACACAAAATCGGTATTTGCTCTCTAGCACTATGACGTAACTCCAAAAACTGTCTCGGGACATTTGATCCACCTCCTAGATGGCAGATTGCGGATTTCAGCCGGTATATGTGACGATCCTTGCGTTCTCCTCACTGACGAAACTCGTTTTCCCAAAACCGGCAGGAACAATTTTGAGATACTACACCATCTTTACCACACCTAAAACAAAATCAGTCATTCTCTTGGTGACGCCTGTCAGCGGATATCCGGCAAGAGTTCTCTCTTCTGTGACTGACCGAAGGTTTAAGTTCCGGGTTCGAATTTGGGGATTGTTTTCGGAAGCGGAACTTCTGGGATATTTGCAGTTTAGAAACGAGTGTTCAAACGGTTCACAATTGAAACAATGCAGAAGGTGCGGGAAATAAAGGGTGGAACTCGGCTTGAATGTTGATTGGTTCCGTCGCGTCTTGTTTTTATACGCCTTACGTCTACCACCAGTTGCCTTTAGTACCGCAATTTAATTTATTTATTTATTTGATTTGATGTAGGGCTTGCAGCGAAGTGGTGGGGAATGAGTTTGATTACGATATCGTTTATTTTTTCCATATCGTGCAAATACAACCTGTGCAACCCTGCTCAAAACATTCGCGACAAAAACTAATCCTTCCTTTTTGGTACAATAGACCCATACCAATTCCCGTTACCAATAAAATACGCGCCCTCGTTAGCATGAACCTCCATGAACAGCTTGTACTTCCCGTAGGGTACATGGGGTGGAAACTTCTCATACTCGATCAGATAGTATTTCAGATACAGGTAACCCTAAAAATGCCATGAGATCGACCTTGAACATGTTAGCGACTCACAATGGGGACAGGGCATCCTTTAAAGTTGGTGTATTGATATATGGACTGCAAACCGAATAAATTCCTCTTGTTCTCATTGCAACCGTCAAGCGTCACGTTGATGGGAAAAACTCGATAAGCGCCACCGACGAATCGGTACACGGTCACTTCCATCTGGAACGCTATTATTTTACCAGTAACGGCCAACATGAATATTACCTTCACTTTGTTTTGAATGGGCGCTATAAAGTAACCGGAAGCGTTTAGGGCCTTCATCTTCACAGTATCGTTGAAGTACAGCACCTGGAAGTCCGGACGACGGACGAACGACCTGTTGAATTTCAATATCTCGATCCGATCGTGCTCGATGACGTAGGTGTCCTGGTGGAATTGCTGAAAGTTGTGCGATTTCAACAAAACGGAGCGCCGCCGCTTAAAGACTTTCTTACCGCCATTACGAATCCCAACGAGGCAAACAGCAAAAATATGGCGTACATTTCTCGTGTGAAAGCGGTGGGGAACGTGTCGGTCTATATATAACCTTTTGCATCCGCAATTAAAAAACAATTAGCCCAGCTCACTGGTCACCTTCAGCAGAGGTAAATTATGTTAATGCACAGATGATATCGCTTGAATTGAAGGATTTGTTTATAATCGTTAGGTTCCATTCAAAAGTATTGATATGAAAGGTTTCCAGAATTGAAGACCAGAAGGAAGACTAACTTGAAGAGCAAGGTGAATATGGTGACCAAGACAAGGACGCAGACAAATGCAAAGAGGAAGACGAACACATGAACGAAGACAAGGACATAGAAGCGGACAATGATGAAAATATAAGAAGAAGAGAAAGCAGACGAGGTTGGAGACCAGAGCGATGACAGGGACAAGGACAAAGACGAAAACACAGACACGGCTCGGATACTAGAACGAAGAAGGAAGCTGAGACAAAGACAAAAAGTGAAACGAATGCGAGGACGCGGACGAGGACAAATAGAAGGAAGGCAACAGTATAGAATCACCCCGCGGGAGGACAATTCACTGGGACCTTCCCTAATACAATAGGATACAATGTGTGGCAGTTATATTGATATATATATATATATATATATATATATATATATATACCTGCGTAGCTCAGATGAGTTTTACTTTAGTAGCTCTAGCTCTGGCTAATGGCTGAATTTTATGTAGTACACCAAACATTTTTGTTTTTTTGACAGATTATGTTTAAATAATCTGTAACCAACCCTTAAACAACCCTTTATTAATAAATTTCGGTCTACTTTAAGTTTGCGAAATTTTTTAGTCATTCATACCTGCATGTAAAGCACTCTTATATTGCGGGGGTTGTTCCTTGGCGTAGTACACCGAACATTTTTGTTTTTTTGATAGATTATGTTTAAATAATCTGTAACCAACCCTTAAACAACCCTTGATTAATAAATTTCGGTCTACTTTAGGTTTGCGAAATTTTTTAGTCATTCATACCTGCATGTAAAGAACTCTTATATTGCGGGGGTTGTTCCTTGGCGTAGTACACCGAACATTTTTGTTTTTTTGATAGATTATGTTTACATAATCTGTAACCAACCCTTAAACAACCCTTTATTAATAAATTTCCGTCTACTTTAGGTTTGCGAAATTTTTTAAGTCATTCATACCTGCATGTAAAGCACTCTTACATTGCGGGGGTTGTTCCTTTACGTAGTACACCGAACATTTTTGCTTTTTTGATAGATTATGTTTAAATAATCTGTAACCAACCCTTAAACAACCCTTTATTAATAAATTTCCGTCTACTTTAGGTTTGCGAACTTTTTTAAGTCATTCATACCTGCATGTAAAGCACTCTTCTATTGCGGGGGTTGTTCTTTTACGTAGTACACCGAACATTTCTGTTTTTTGATAGATTATGTTTAAATAATCTGTAACCAACCCTTAAACAACCCTTTATTAATAAATTTCCGTCTACTTTAGGTTTGCGAAATTTTTTAAGACATTCATACCTGCATGTAAAGCACTCTTACATTGCGGGGGTTGTTCCTTTACGTAGTACACCGAACATTTTTGCTTTTTTGATAGTTTAATAATCTGTAACCAACCCCTAAACAACTGGAGATATTTGGGCTTGGGGGTGGGAGGGGAGTACTCCCAGTTCTGCATTCTTCCCCAAACACTCGGAAGTCTTTTATAGAAGGACATCACGAAAGTCCGTAGGGCTGAATAGAAGTTGCATCCTGGGAGTATTTTTTGCTGGTTGGTATGGACTTTCTTCATTTTTGGAAAGAAGCCATAAAATTTGATACCAACGGCTTTCCGAGTATGGAGTACTCGTCAGTAAAGGAAGATTCTGCAGTCCCTTACGCCAAAAAACCGCAACAGTCCCTAAGGCTGAATGGGAGAAAAAATGGGGCACTCGACTTCTGATAACCTTGAAAAATGAAGATCATTGATCTTGGATAAACTTGCAAATGAAAAATGACCTTGAAAATGAAATAGAATATGACAAAACTGAAGTCATTAAACTTTGATGACCTTGAAAAGAAAATATGGCCTTGGTAGCCATTTTTTTTAATAGTAGTGTAACCCACACCCTTCAAAGTGCTACTTAATGCGAATTTTAGGTAATACCGATGCCGATACCGATTATTATAGATTCGGTGTCGATTTTGGATAATAAATATGTAAAAAGACGCCTATCCTTTACTATATATCTCAGCTATTTTAGACCGGCTAAGTGACGAAAAATGCATTATCAGCCTGGATATCAAATCAACTTATAGGCAAGTCACAATCTATAAGAAAATTTTTTTTCCGGATCGATCTGAGACAATTTTTTTTCGGGGCTCAAAAAAAGGCAGTGTATAACCTTCCTTTTTTACCAAAAATCGACTGCACCAAAATTTCTCGGGAAAACACTGTTTCTTATTAGTTTTGGTGCGTAGAATCCAAAACAATTCGTACTTTTTCGATCAGACTTCTCATTCAAAAGTTGTAGACTAGAAACCAATTTCGAAAAAAAATTCAAAGGGCTGTAACTTTTGAACTAGTAGCCCAATCTTGGAACTGTTTGAAATTATGGACTCTACCTCTCCTCGCAAGAAGGGAAGAGATCCGAGCTGTGTTGCTAAAACCGAAAAGTTGTAAGGTCAGTCTCCTAAAGAAGAAGAACGGACATGGGTAGATGTGATGATCGCCCGTGAGATGATGTTTTAGGCAGAGGTGTTAGCAACGAGCCACGAAAAACGAACACTGAGAAGCGAGGAAGCAGGGATCCAGAGAAATAAATAGCAAGGAGTAAAGAGCTACCAGGAACCAGCAAAGGGAAAAAGGAGCAACGAGAAGGTAGGAGAGAAGATCCAATAGGACCGATGAACCAAGCAAACGATATCGCAAACCAATTTTAAATTAAAGAAAGAAGGTTTATTGCTAATTGTTTGGTGTATTCCTGCAAAGGCGTGATTCATTTCTGTTTGTTTGAGTCTGATTTCGCAAGTAGCTCCTTGTTGGCTCTTCGTTGAGCAATCTTAGTAATGCCCTTAAGCTCTCCCATTGTGGACTTGATGAAGAGCAACTGGTGCTCAACGTTCTCCTCGGACAAACTCGACTCGACCTCCTTCCGAGAACACATCGACAAATACAAAGCCCAACAGGCCTGCCTTACGTTTTGCAGATCTTCCAATCTGGCCTTTAGCTCGGAGTTGATGCGCGCAACCATCGTCTCCCAATGCAAGGCCTTGGTCTTGGCTACTTCGTAGCGAATTTGCAGTTCGGCGATTAAGTTATACAGCCCCATCACCTCCAAGGTCTTCGACTCCGTCATCTTGATCACGTTCGCTCTCGCCTCCTCCAGCGTGCTCAAGTCTTCCTCCTGCCGATCGGAGAGGACCTTTCTCGCCTCCGCTAACGCTTCGTAGCGGTCCAAGATCGCGTCGTACGTGCGAAAGATCGGGTACGACTTCGTCACCCTCAACAGGTAGTCCTGCAAGACACTCTTAAACAAGGAGAACTAACACCCCGCAATGTACCTCGTACATCCAATGGCTCTTAATGTTCTTCTCCATTCTCGACTTAATGTCCGCCATGTATTTGTACTCCAAGTCCAAATTGTAAATGGCGACCTCAGTTTTGTTGGCGTTGACAGTCGCCTCGGTTCGCTTTCTCTCGGCGCGCTCGCGCTTCTCTTGGTTTTCTTTGATAAACTTCGGAAGGAGTGAGTTATCATCGCGACTGCCCACCGGCTACTTACCCGGTTGAACTTGACAAAGTTAGATCTGAGCACGTTCTCTTTCTGGTCCAGGTTTCGCCAGAGCGCGTCGACTTCCTCGCGTTTCCGAACGGCTTCCTCCTTTTTCTTGGCGAGCCGCGCCTCGGCATTGTGCAGTTCGCGCTTCTGCAGCACCAGCTCGCCGGTGGGATCGGCGCGCGCGACGTCCCATTCCGGACACTTCCTGAAACGATCGTTTCGGGAAAAGGGCAAGTGAGAATTGAGCTTACTTGACCACAGAGTCAAACGCCTTCGAGTGCAAGAACTCGCGGGCCGCTTGTTCGGGGTGAATTTTTGGAAATTGTAATGGCGCCAAGTCTTTGGTATTTACGGCCATAGTTCAGACTGTCAAGTGTAAACGTCACTAGTGACACTGACGCCGGCAGTTTTCTGAATGTGTGCAGACAACATCAACGCCAACTCAATTGCGCTCAGGTTGAATCCGCATTTTGCCTGGGAATAATCGGCGCCAGTCTGACGGGCGATAACACAATCTTCATGTATTTTACATGACCAAAAGGTCTGGGTCAGAATTATTCTAGCGAGCTTTCCATATTCTTCACTTTATAGTCGACAGTATACCATCAACAGTCTACCGGAACAGTCTAAGACCTACAGTTTTCAGCGCATAAGCCCAATTCTAAACTACGAAATCTAGAATCCATGATCTATAAGACCCGGGATCTGTGGTCCATCGTCCATAGTCCATACTCCACAGTCCGCAATCCATAATCGATAGTCCATAATACGTAACATTAAATGCGGACTCCAGAATGAGCTTTTGGAGCCTTTAGGGGCCCTTTAACGGTCTGGAAGAGATTGCAAATACCTTCCAAACGCTTTGGAATCCATTAATTGTTTCAAAAACCAGAGGTTTTAAACATCCTGCATAGGGTTTAAGAGTGTTTAAGACAAATGCCTTGAAGGGTTTTGTAAAAGTCTTTAAATCAGTCGAAATCAGCCTCAAAACGTCGGCAAGGGTTTGGAGTTCCCAGCCTCTGAAATTTTTTTCTATTCTTTAAGCAGTAAGAACCATAAAAGCTCTCTAAAGACCTATAACAAAGGAACCTTTAATATTTAAGGGTCTCTGTGAATTCTCCAGTCTATAAGAGACGTTTCTATTTAAGAGCGCCCTAGTTTTCAAGAATGGCTGAAAGCTAAACCTTGAAAGGTCTTTATGACGCTGGCTGAGCTTTTGAAGGGAGCAGTAGAGGCCAAACGAAGAGGTGAAAAAATGAAAATGCAGATGATATCCAGACAGATGTCCTAGATTGTAGATCCTAGATTGTAGATCCTAGATTGTAGATCCTAGATTGTAGATCTTAGATTGTAGATATTTGATAGATTGTAGATCCTAGATTGTAAATCATAGTTTGTTGATCCTCGATTATAAGTGCTATATTAAAGGTCTTAGATTGTAGATAGGATCTACATCTACAATCTAAGACCTTTGATA